ATTTGTTATCTTTCTTCTATCCAGTAACATTATTGAAGAGAAAATCATTAGAGAGGCACCATTGTTTGAGAAGAATATGAGCCAAAGGATTGTTCATTCGAAAGAAATGACTTCTATAACTTTTTCAGGGGCAAGAGCCCCCGGGGATACTCTCATTAAGGCCTGATAGGGGGGTCCAGTCGGTTTGAAGGTCTTACCAAATGGCTACCAAATAGCCCATTTTCGATAATAACTGAACTGCTTAGTTTAGCTTGCGATTTATTCTAGATACGGAACAAGATTTTATCCTTCCCGAAACAATAACAGTAAATTGTAAAGAAATTTGTTTAAAAAGGACAAGGGGAGCACAAAGAAATTGATGCTACCAAGGACATAATTTCGGTTTTTATACCACCATTTTAGGGTTATTGTCAAAAATATTACCATTTGAGGGCATTTTTTTCAAAATTTTAGCATAGGCCCTCTTTGACCCTGACTGGACTCCCTGTTAAGCCATAATGGGAGTACCTCCCCCTGGCACGAGACAAACTAATAAAAAAAGCAGCTATGGCCCTTTAAAATCCACAAAGATTGGATGTTCTCGTTCACACTGTATTAGACAAGTTTGAGTACTTTGTTTGGCTTTTTTTAAGACATCATCAAAATACGAAACTTAGTCAGTAGAGTTTCAATCAGAAGACCATTACTGTAAAATACTTGTTCTCTAAAATTACTTGTTTGTCGATGATTTTGACAAAAACTTTTAAGAATCCAGATTTTATCTTGTAAACATCCGGTAGTATTCCTCGTGATAAATAGCAGAATCGCGTTGATAACTGAAAAAATAAAATTAGTTCTCATGCCTTCAAAAATAAATGGAAAAGGAAGCTCTATCGACATTCAATATATGCAAACCTTTTGAAGATGGGACAAGTACAAACTTGCTTTTTATTGACAGCAGATACATGTTCATATCATCATATGTATCGAACAGGATGGTGCTAAGGTGTTACTACAGGTCTGCCTAAAAGCAGCGTTGTAGTGCTTTTGCGCAAAACGCTGCAAAAAACAAGAGGGACAATTGAAATTGGCTGTTTCTCGACATTAACAAGGGGGCTCAGCTGCCTTGAGCCCCCTATCTCTACACCCCTGCCTCTTTGGAACCATCGAGCACTTTGGAACAGACCTGTAAAACAGTAATTTTCAACGTTTCTTAGGAGAGTTCTCGTGCCTGAAGGCGAATCAGTCATCTAGAATTTAATATTTTTCTCGGAATTTGATGAAGCTAGCGTCCCACGCCCCACTTAAAATAGCTCCATGCAACCTTAGTATACAATATAATTAGGTGTTGCTTTTCACTGAATGAGAGCGTCTCTGAGATAACGCAAGAAAAAATAATGACAAAATAGCCATGACGGTAGTGGTTCCTTTGATGCTGGGTGAAAAGTAGAATTAAAAAAATATTTTTAACATTACAGCCGAGGAAAGAATCACTCTATGGAAATCTCTTGCAATTTTTGCAAAAAGTCTATGGTCAGTAAATTCATACAAATCCTTTTGTCTTGGCTGAAACCTCTTACCCTTTTTCTAAGATTGAATTGCCCCTCGATCATAACTGTAGATTCAACCGAGCTGATGTTTATTCGTAGTATTTGAATATTTTCTATAGCCTTCTTGTCAATACTACTGTGGTTTCAGAACTACATTTTATAAACACAGGCAGGGACGGATTTAGCGGGGGGTGTAGGGGGTGCGACACCCCTTCCTGTCCTTTGGTAAATCTAGTTTCATTCGGTAAAAATCATTTGTTGTTAGTCAGTAGTAACAAAGTAACGCCAAGATATTACTTTATTGATTTTTTATCAGTATTTATCTTCTTATCAGTAGCGTAGCGGGGGGATATTCTCAAATGTATTTTAAGCTAATCTCAAGAGCATCGTCGCAGAAAGTTTCTGCTCGCATCGCTCGCAGGAGAGCCTCAATGTTCAGTAATTTCCCCTCATTTTGAAGTTTGTATAGAAAAGTCTTTCACGTTCTTTAGACATTCCTGATAAAATAGAACCTAGAATGCTAAAGCAGTCCAATCCTTAAAAAAATTGGATTCTGAAATGCTTGTCATGGACTTTGCTCCAAGGAAAACAGACTTGATTTAAAATTTTTGAATACTGTTAAATTGTTTAGATATTTGCTTACAACTTCGGAATTGTGAAGGAAATAGTCAGTCGTAGAATATGGTCAGCCACCTATGACATTGAATAAAGGGAAATTGTTTTGCTTTCATGCTTTGCTTTGCTTTTTCAAACACATTTACAAAATGGGTGTTATCCCAAATTCTTAGGGTTGTGATCGGCAAAAATATTTTTTCTCTTTGGCCTACCAATTTTCCAAACCTGGCTACGTTACAGTTAAAGAGCAAGTTTTAAAAATGGACGTTTCTATCATTTACCAGTGACCTGAAGGGTGTGGCACCAAAGTAAGTGTCTAAACCCCCCCCCCCCTTAATCATTGTTGATTAAATCTGCCCCTGAACACAGGGGTGCCGTTCCAAAAAGTTGGGGTGAGCTGTGCTAAAGGCGGCCTCTCAAGGCGCACCCACGAAAACACGCCGCTAAAAAATTTCTATCAGTCGAAAATCTGCCCCCTATCTATCTGCCCCCTATAGCGCTTTTGTACTTAATGAATGATTTTTCATTTTTGGAATATCATTCTCGGCTACAAATATTCAAGTGGTGCTCTACAATGCTTGACAAAATTACTTGAAACATCTAACACTATGCACTGTGTTTTTCAATTCTTTATTTCTCTCCCCCCCCCCGAATACTACTACTTCTATCCCCCTTTCTCTTCAAGACAATGTTGATACATTGAGTATCTACCCGCGTACAAGAAGCATCCTTGTGTAAGAAACAAGCCTTGTTTTCTTCAAAAGGGGCTCATTTTATATGAAACAATTCTAGGCCTGAAATTAAAATGTTTCCTATTTTCAAGAATTTTATATTGTATGTTTATGCTCTAGGATGGTTGTAGTGTGTGTATTTTACTGATATGAAATATCATACAGTAGATTACGTCTTATACATTACTACCAGTAGTATTGAATACACATCCATGGACTGTACTGTCATATAGCTTGTCTTGGTTTTTACTTGACAGTACCCATTGATAACTTAGACGCTGATGATGAAAGTCTCTGTTAATAAGGAACTTTATGAGGCCTCAGCTTATAAAGCGGTTCCTTACATGCGGGTTCTTTCTGTAGTTTAAAAAACATACAAGCCACAAGAAACAGCTTACTCCATGACATCTTTTTTTATCTTTAATAAATCAACATTGTCCCTACGGGAGTCGGGGTGGCTGAATTGCTTTTAAAAACTGAAGTTAGTGTTATCGAGTGTTCCAAGGCTTTTGGCAGTGATTGTATTTGTGACAAGAAGGCCCCGTGTAGTTCAAGCAAAGTCTACCTTCGGAAAATTATCAAAAGCATGCGTCTTAGATAAAAAGTGATAACATGTTATCCTAATCAAAGCCTAGTTGCCAATATTTTGATTAAGATATGAAAAAATGAGATGAGCTCTACGTTGGGTTTTTAAACATGGGTTTAGAATATTACAAAGGATTTTTATTGTGTACTTTTAATTTATAGCGACGCTTTTTGTCACTTAGAATTATCAAATATTTATTGCAAAACCCAATTTCATCGTTTAGTGGATATGATGGATGTCAACTGAAATAAAGGGTACTAAATTATTCTTTATAGCCACACACCCTTTTACCGGAAATTTTTTTGCTGACTTTCGAAATTCTAAATTTTTTTGCTTTCGAGGCCCAAAAATATTTTAACATCGTTTTTGAAGGACATCGTGAAGTTTGGAAAGGACCGAGAAAGAAAGTCCAATTCTTTGTTTCATCAAAATAAGAAGATGGTTGAAAGTATATTTTAGAGTCGATATTTTGTAACCGAGTCCACTCCAGGGACGCCGGAATGACCAAGGGGCAAAGAGGGGCAGGCTTGAGCAAAGGGCATTTGAAGACTAATCTCCAGCTACTAAAAATCCTTTTGTAGCTGTCATTTTGTTATGATCTTCTGTAGGTATCTTGAAAATCGGCTAACTTCTGGCATAAGAGATTTCTTTACAAGCTTTAAGAAATGTCGTAATGACTAAGGCATTACAGTCAGAATTTCTTATGAATCTTTTGATAAATACAAACGGCCTTTGTTAAGGGCAATTCTATTAAAAGGGTACTTTGACCCCCCTTGCCCCTCCTATCAAAGGGAAATAGGGGCGATTGACCCCCCAGCCCCCAAAAATTATAACTTCAATATGTGAATCTGATCATGATCGGTGTTTTTCTCATTACATTCTTTTTTATAAGAACACCGGGGATTGATTTGCCATAAAATAAGCACACCATAAAAATGCCCAGCCTCGTATGAAAAGTTAGAAGACAAAAACAATTTGTTTTTTGAAAGCGTTCTCTCATGAAAGCAAAACAGAGCAGATTCTATGCGCAAATCAACCATACTACTGAAAAAGTCATGTAGAACGTTAAAAAAGATTTAAGAAACAATTGATGGTATATATTTGAAGAAAAATCAACGATGAAATAAAAACAATATTAAAGTCATTCCAGCATCAATTTATCAAAAAAATAACACCACCAAGTAAGGGCAAAAAATTATCTAGTATTTAGAAAAAAGTGTTTCGACCGTCAATCTGTATACTGCTAAGAAAGTGTTTCGCTCGTCAATCTTTAAACTACTAAAAAACTCAAACGGATTATAGTATATAATTATTCCGACTATAGTTCTTGATTAAATCTCAAATTTCAACAATTTCGAGCCTTATAACTTCAGCAACAAATTCTTGTAAAATTTATTCTTATAAAAAAGCACGCAGTACATTCAAGGTCAAAATAAATATTTCTGCAATTCACTATTCCTAATGCTTTGTTAGTGATCAAAGACTACCTCAGCCAACATATTTGCAAATAGATATTTACGAAAACTTAAGCAAATACGATAACGTGCATGATGGTCTAGAGAAACGCAAGCCACGAGGCGCCTTCCCAACATCTACCTAAAAGATAACTGATAATTGTTCTTGAAAAGGATTTGGCTTGGCTGCAAGCGAAGGTCCGGATCTTAAGAATCCACTGAAGCATATTCCAAATCCTAATCCAATCAAGATTGCTATGGGAAGAAAAATCTATTCGTAAACCTGTTAAACAAATCGCGTTGAAGGTTCGTGGAGGACGGCTGGTTGAAAACCGGCAGTAAATAGCCAGTGCTAGATGCAGAAATATTGTGGCCGAACGGACGTCGTCGACGGCGCGTCGAGTTGGTTGCTGAAATTGCGGTGTTGCGAGAAATCAAAAAGAGGTTTCCAATTTCCGTTGTCAGTTCAGCGAAATTGGCTTGCGGTGCGAGACATCTGATACAGTTCTCAGTGAAAAAAACATTGGCTACAGAGCGTGAGGGTCTTATCTTTGAACACATACTTGAGTCTCAGAAGATCATAAAAGTTTTCTCACAGCCGTGCTAAAGCAAACGGACTGTTTTCGTTTCTATATTGTGAAGCGACATTGGGGTTAATAAATTTTTATTCGATTGCGTGCACGACTCACAATAGAGCAGCTTCGCAAAGAAAGACATTCTTAACAAAATGATGATTGCAAATGAAATTAGTGGCCTGTGGTTGGTTATTTTGCTCGCCTCTATTTTTCAGTGTCTATCAGGTGAGTTTATTTTTCGAAGAAATAACTTCAATTCTGCTACATCGAGATCAAGTGTTTTGTTTGTAAGTTTTTTCTCATGGACATGCTTTATAATAAGACGCCGCAATGGGTTAAATCGTAACTCAATCAAGCTTTCTTGAGTAGCTGTACTAATGCAATTAATGGCAAGTGCTTCATTTAATAATATAAATAAATCTGAAAGGGTCTAGGCATAACAAGACGTGATGCAAATAAAGAATTCAGCTGTCTCAACTGCTTTCAACACAAAGTTTAGACAATAAAGGAAATATTTCTGTACAGAATTTAGCAAATTTGTTTTGCGTGCATTGTGCGCCACGAGTTTCATATCAGGAAATGATCGACCATGTCTAGCGAGGTGGTGACATTTGACAAAAAAGATCTATGAAAGAGGAGGACTGTTTGTAGAAGTGCCAAGGTGGGTGGATGACACCTAAATATGTTTGCACAGTCTCCTGCAAGCTGAGGTGTCTGAAGCAGGCGTGTCGAAATTGTTTGACGAAAGCGTAGATTTTGGATCAGACATAAAACAGAACTTGAAGTTCTCCAATTCCGAACGCCTTGCTTTCCAGGCTTTTGAAGGATTATGTCCTTAAAGGCTCTCATGATCCAAGTATTCCTGTATTCTTGAAAGGATAGAACTTCAAGTAACGTAAATACCCATTAAGATTAAACGTGTCAACAAAAATCTTCCGCTGAATTTGTTCTTTCATGGCTTTAATATCCACCTGATTCTCTCCAATTGCAAAAACTGTATTAACTTGTAGCCAACTAGACCAAAGGATACACTATGGTCAATAGTTGATTCACTTGTTGATCCAAATCATTTGCGCCGATCTGTTCATCAATGATTTTAAAAATGTTATTCGTCAATGCAAATGTACACGACGCCTCTTGTCGCCATCGAAAGCTTGTGAACAGACCGTGCTCTAAAAACACTTTTATCCTTGCGATTTTGATTAAACTGGTTTATTTAAGCAAGATTATGAACATTGGCATTTTAGTTTTTGCATCGTTCTTGTTTTTCAAATGACGTTCTTGTTTTTGCATGCTTTAAGGAGTCCCCTACTTGAGGTATTCTGAATAAGACTAAAACAAAATAACCCTAATCTCTAAATATAATCGTTGCTTTTTGACATAAATGAGGGTCAATGGTTGCTTTTGTGAAAAAAAATATCTCAAGTCTCTCTGAACAAGAGTTTTCTCTTCATAGATCATGCAGTTTTTTAACTGAATCATACAGCCATCCATAGATTTTCACTCCAAAAAACACTGTCTATAAAAATCACGTAGTTTAAAATTAAAATACCCGCTATTACACTACAGATATATCTTTGACAAAATCTAGAATGTGACATGCTTAATAACTGCAGGTAACTAAATTCGAAAGCTGTTTGACAAACTACCTATTAATTGCTGCCAACATGATTTCGTTTGTTGGTCCACGCTTGTGTGCATTTCAAAGACGTGTAAAGTAAATTCTAGGCGCCAGAAGCTTCTTCAAAACCAAATGACTTGTGAAAATAATAGTTACAGAAAATAATATTTGTAACTCTGCACACAGGTTCTATTGCAAGTACGGCAGGTTCTATTGCAAGAACCACGTACAATAATTAGGACATAAACCATTTTCCTAAGAGTTTGTGAGCCTCAGCAGAGTGCGTGTTTGCTCTGTAATTAAAAAGTGCATGCCACTGTTTAATAACATTGTCAGTTATTCTAATTTGCAAAGAAACCGGGAGAAGTAAATCTCTTTAGAAATTGGTTACCAAGTCTTTGTTATCGCAAATTAAGTTTTGAACCAACGAGGAAGGATATTAGATAGAAGCACTTACTAACGGATAGTAAACGCTATCACTTAAAATAGCACAGCGAGTTTCATTTAAGCTCTAATCCTGCCCATAGTCCTGATACGCTACACTTTATTTTTGCTCAAAGCCTTTTCGAAGGGTACACACGTTTTTATTAAATACTTTTTATTTTGCTGAGCCTCAATTTCCTTGAAAAAACAACTGATTTCCAGCCTGAGATTATTCTTCAGTTATTTTTGCCCAAGGTTGCTTTATTAACAATTAAAAAACAGAGCAATGAACGTAATATTAACAGAGGGGGGTGGGGTTGGGTGGAGGGGTAACAGCTAAAAGGGCTAGTTAAATGCTAAAATTATTTTTTATAAACCTGGTGGTTTGAAGGGATTGCCGGTTTTTTGGACGGCATGGTCCCCTGGATCGCTACCGGTACGTCACGTAACGTCTTGTTCCCCAAAATACATTCGTACTGAAACTGTGGTTTAATTTCAACTGTGCTCTACGCGGCTCATATTTAAAGTCAATCTACTGTCACATCTACTTATGGATCCTCATCTTCCAGCTTTATCCGAACCACGTGCATCTCTCCATTGTGGTACAATTCACAGGGATTACGGTTATTCTTCTAAACTAAAAGGTAAACGCAAGATTTTAGGCAAAGGTGGAAGTAGCCGTCTAGAGATCCCCAAGTGTAGCCAACCTGTGTTTAGATGTTTAACTGTTACCTTCACCGATTAACTTAATTTTGAAGAATACTCTAAAAGCTTTTGCTAAAATTTTTAATTCAACTCGAATTTTTAATTCAGATTTAATTCAAAATTCAATCTAAATAAAAGTTTTCTTGAGGCTAGCGGTCGTCATATTGATTTTAGGAAAACAAAGAGTTAACTTACAGTGATTGACTGGGGGTGAAATTTTCCGAGGGGCAAAACACTCTAAAAAAATCTCGTCACCTTTTGTGAAAATCCTATTTTTTGATCTAAAAATCCCCAGAAATCCTTTTGTTCCAGGAAAAATCTCGTACGCTAGTTGCAAGTGTGAATCGCCCCACGAAATTTTCACTCGAAACGATCTTCGTCGTCAAATAAGGTTTGTCTGCTTCATATCTTCATAAAATCTACAAAACAGCACAAAAACTATGGAATTGAAAAAGCTTACATCTCAACTGAAGGCACCAAACATTTTTCTCGATTGAATCACATCATAATAAAGAACAGTCGTGCAATATAACAGGGTATGCCGGGAGACTTAGAAATGGGTGTCACAAAGCATATCTTCTGACAACTTGTTTTGTTTTAATTCGTCTTGATTGTACTTATTTCAAACTATTTATGATTAGATTTGTTTTAAACGAGCAAGAAACCAGTGCCGAGCATTCCAGGTATCTTCAAAAAGACCTGGAAAGAATTTCTTAAACGTCGATAATTATAACACAATTATTTGTACATGCTTTTAGAACAAAATAACTCGAGGCATTGTTGCCACATTAACCACCGGATGAGAATTTAGGCGAATAAACCATGCACACCATTAGCGATAACCTAACTCAGTTACGTTACAAGAAATTCCATAATTATAAAACGTTACTTTTTTGTCCTAATATTTATCGTTGCTATCGGCTCTTTTGTGTGAGGTTAAGATAATTTGTTAACCTTGCTGTGCTTCAGGGTATCAAACATTACCAAACTACTGATTTGTCAACCCTTGAAGCAAAATCTGTTATCTGCAACAAGGCGAATTTTCTTTAAAAAGCTAGCCATAATTCACTTGCGCTCGAAAAAGCTACCCGTTAAATATGTTAAAATCACAGTTTCTTGTTTCGCTTGTTATTGCCAAGAAGCTTGTTTTTACAGAGTTGAATATTGGAATGGAAATGCCAGGGATATGTCCTGAGGTATTCGGTATTGTTATGGCAACTCGATGATGAGTAACAACAATATATTGTACTGGTTAGCTTCAGTGTCATACAGCCGTGTGAATTTGACCTTACACAAATACTATATAGCCTCGTTGTCATTTTAACTTTCAGTTCAGACCAACTCTAAAAGAGAGTCCTTATTTAAAGTCCAAAAGACGGTTAATTGTATCATGAATTAGCTCATCCGAGCCACAGACATGATCCTGTCTCCGGGGCACCAGGTTATGTATTTCTGTGGGTGAGGATAATTCTCTGGTCATAGTTAATCTTTATCTACGACAGGCTTTATTTCACATTTTATCACTTCTTTTTCTGAACATGGATAATGTAAATGCATACTGGTTAATTTCCACACAAAGGCTAATCCCCTCTTGCATTCCATGGAGTATCCTTTCGTTAATTACGTGATGTTCCAATTCAAGTATCATATTTAGGTATGACCTTCCCTGGAAATTAATGTCATCTTGAACAGAGAAACGTTGTATCAAAATTGCTTTCCTATTTGCCTAATCGAAGCAAGTTAACTTGGTTGGTTTTTATGGTATTTTGATTACTGATGTGTTAATTCCAACCTGGCAGAAATCTAAACCGAGATATCAAGAGTAAGTCTGCTTGTCATCTTCGAGATTTTACTGTTAACAAAGTAGCCTGTTTCTTTTCTGGTTGCATTGCAACCTCGAGGCAATTCCTGCATTCAAAGCGAGACTTTTTCCAAAGTCCAGTATTGTTTTGCATGAGGGCCGATGTACAGTGCTACTAGAGCTTCCAAAAAGTACTGAGGGAAAAACTTGCTTTGACTTGGAACAGTGGCGTAACAGAATAAAGTTACCTTTAGTTCGAAAGACAAGGCCCCCCTACCTTTAGGGCCACCATCAAAAAAATTTTTCTAGTTTATTTTCCTGTAAAGCTGATATTCTGGATGCTATTAACGAGTTTAACGGGCCCAAGCCCGCATGATATCTCTGTCTGTTTGAATAGAAAGTCTGTTGATTAGCATTTTATGTTTTGTCTACATTGTTTTACAAATGCTTATTATTTTGGGGCCCTGAACTAACAAATTCCTATTTGGTGTTTTTTAAGAAATCCGGATTCCCTGGCTTTGGCTTTATTTCTGGCAAGATTGACTTTTCCTTTAAGCTGGGTGTGTCATTGTAGGGCACTTGACTTGTCACACACTTGTTCCAAAGAAAGTCCAAGCTTTTAGCCACATTTCAAGTATACTTTTGTGAGCTATGCTGCCATTTTAAGTGATTGTAGTGGGTTTCCAAATTTTGCAAACAAAAGGGGAACATTTGATAAAGTACACAAATCCTTTGCTTATACGACGTCTTTGGAAAAGCAGCTCGTCACTGCGAGCCTGTCCATCTATGCCTACATTTCTTAATGTTTTCTTCATAATTTCTTTGTAGTTAAGCATTTGTAGTTAAGCACACAGTCACATGGTACAATATTTTTAAATCGGCGACTGTGTTGTAAAATGTCAAAAAATCTTGAAAAAATCTACGTGTGAAACCTCCCAAACGGCCTTTCCGTTACGTTTGAAGGATTTCACTGATGCTATTCGATTTAATAGCATTGTGAGTTTGGATCTTTGAAAGCTACTCCATTTTATGATAATTAAAATCAAAACCTTTTTCAATAAAACAATTTCCTAGAACGTTTTCCTTACAAACGTCATTAGAAAAGTAAATTATGTTCAAAATAAGAAAGATGATAAATCAGTTTTTTTGTCATGGACAGTTCATTCGTCTTTGACGTCACATGTCACTTGACTTTGATAAACCATACACCTCCATGCCAATGCTCCCAGAGACATTGTAATTTATAACTGGGTCTTCATTTCACGCAGTATTTTCTCAAATCGTTCAGTGGTCCTTGACTCTAAGCCATTTGTGATCACATTGGATTGAATGAGGATTTGAGCAAGCTAATCCACTGGCTCTCAGACCCATACACTGGAGGTTCCAAGGAAGGCTATCATAGTTGTTAGCACAGCTTTGTAAATCTATGCCTGTCTTACACGTAATACCTCTATGGTGTCCAGGTCAAGGTAAAGTGTTACATTCCGCCTTGTATGAACACCGATAGTATAAAACGCAGGAAATCCTTTTGGTATGGAAAATTTTCCCAGGGTTTATGTTTTAGTCTAATGAAGCCTACAGTCTTCTTTACACATTGTGCCAGTTGACTTTCCCTCTGACCACCCATGTTTTTTTACAGGTTTTATTATCTTATTCATTCCTAGAGTAACCTTGTTAGTGACCTCCTGTTATATCTGGAATGAAGTTCGAAACAAATGTTTACACTGTAACACATACGTGCGATTTGCGGTTAATCAAGTGATCTACTAATGCATGCATGTCTCTTTCGCAGAATCGGTGTTTGTCTAGCGTGGGCAAACCCAAATCCGGTTTTATCAATTTCGGTAGACCATTATCTTCGTGCATACTGGCGAAGAGATGCCTTAACATGTCAATTAATGCTACAGATTTCTCTTCTGTTTGGAGTCAACATCAAGTAGCTTGGTGTTTTCATTCTAATTGCAAGGAAGCATGAATATCTATATCAAAGAGAAGAATTATTAAAACTGGCATTGAAGTCTAATGAAGCCTACAGTCTTCTTCGCCAGTATTCACGAAGATAATGGTCTACCAAAATTGATCGAAGTTTTTGTTTTTGCAATAGTTGAAGTTTTTGCAAGCCTTTTAGGCCCAAAACAGAGGGTTGCTAAAATATAGAGTTGCCAAAGCAGAGGGTTTGGGTTCCTATTTAAATTCCTTTTCCTGGGTATCCGTGACGCGCTTTCATACCTCTGTCCTTTTTTCCATTGGGTATTTTCTCTGATCTCAATAGTGCAAGAAATTGTTTTTAAAGAGATTCCCGCGGTATTTTAAAGTCCACCAGTTAGGAGCAAAGTTTATGAAATTCGGTCGCTTTATATCTAAGCATTATCCTCGTTGATGTGGTACTCAGATACAAACAAGCCGTAGAAACATAGATATGTCGATATAAACATCAGATATATATGAGCCATAAGGCATTGTGCATAAATGAAACAGGGCCTTTTTAATCCGAAAATTAGGCCTATTCACCGCGTAAGTTGCATTTCCTTTGCTATCAGGTCAATAAGCAAATAAAGGATAACGAACTCATGTTCTTGAGATGTGCAATGCCTTCTGTAATTAGTGTCGTAAGAACAAGCTGATAAGGCAAAATCTGATAGAATCTTGCTGATTGGCTAACACCGATGGTAGATAATGGAGCTCTCAGCCAATCAAAATCTATGACTTTACTGCTATTCTGCTCTAAAGCCGTAACAACGAAAAGCCAAAACTAAGAAAAAATATCCTGAGGCATTGGCCTGTGGCTACAAGGCAGATGGAAAGAGAGGTCCACAGCCGAAAGCGCTGATCCTTCGCATGTGAAGTCCCCCTTACATTTTCCCGTTATTTACCTTATGGTGCAATTTTTGGTCGATGGAAAGATGGTAAATGCATTTTACTTGCATAGCAAGATTACACATTTAAAAAACTAGATATTTTGTATCTGGTTTTTGGGACCTCAAGAACCCCAAGTTTTTGTCTTCAAAACACCATTTCTTGCAAAGGTGCAACTCTTGAAAGGTTTAGATGCTCACCATTCAGATGATAATAAAAAAACAAAAACAATCTGATGTAATACCATTAAGCCAAACTTTTTGATGGTGGTTATATGAACATTCCATCATGCTTTATTCTCTTATCGATAATCCAAACATCTTGAAAACATTTCCAGGTTTACGTAAGGTATTGGACCGCGGGAATGTAGTTATCGAAGGTCATGTGAAAGCCATAAACATTTTTGAAGAACGACAAAACAAAGGTCTCTTGTACACTTTTATACATACTTTACACATACATACTATTTACATACTTTATTCCTACTTTATATTTACCATTAATATTCTTGAAGCGTTTGTTTCGCAAATTTCTTTCAAAAATATTTGCTGCTTCTCATTTAACTATGGTTTATAATAAATTGCTGGAAAAGAATAGTGGTTCACTGAAATCAGTGAAACTTTTACTGTCACTCTTGATTGAATCGTGTACTTTTAAGTTCGTTCATGCAATGGCATCTTGTCAACTACAGTAGCGAGCACTTCGACTACAGTTAATGCAATTATAAGGAAAAATGCAATTGAAAATCGCTAGAAAATTTGGGGTTTTGTTGTTGAAAATAATCTGCGTCTTTCTGTTTAGTGATACGCAGTTTTTATTGATTACATTTTAAACCTTTTAACATTAATGGGATCCAGCTGATACGACTTCTTCGACCATGAGCATCCCGCTTCCCGTGACACTTGGTTTGTTAAAGTGAACTCGTCGGCGTATACGTATTCAGGCACATACGACATCTTCGTAAATTTTTCTCTGCTTGAAAACAAGCTGATCCAGTTATTCTTTGAAATACTTGCCCTACAGGAACAGCTATGCCTAACCATATATCCTTTAGCCTTTTCATGTCAAAACAATATTTACACTTAAAGAAATACTAGTGATGTCACAAGGAGGAGTCTTGGCGACCGTAATTTCCTGGTTGCTGCTAGCAACTTCTCATAATCCTGCTTGAGTTGAGCATCATCTTCTTAACTTCATCTCATCCATCTTCAAGAACTGTCTTAGGCCTATCTGTTTCCTCGCGTAAAGGTTTAACTTGCTTAATATCCTCATTAAAAACGATGAATCCAGCCTCTGTTACTAAAGTTATTAATGTCTCTGCCCTAAACGTATAATAAAAAGCGGGAAAGGCTGAAGTATGCGATGCCCTAAACGCAAAATTAAAAGCGGGAAGGGCTAAAGTATGTGAATATGTTTAGAATCCTTCATTTTTCTGTTGCTAAAATGACCTTTCCGGGCTTTTTTTAGTCTAAGCACCTCAGGCTTTCTTGTGTTATTGTTGAATACCAGAAAACCATTTATTCATGTCTGGTACCAGAAAACCTCATTTTGAATTAGCTTTTGATATCATTTTTATCTATTGTTGACCGCAAAATCCAAACAGGCTTCCCACAATTGAAACTGGATTCCAACTGAAGCCACTCCCTTTACTGCCTAACATCTTAAAAACCCTATAAAATAATAATATACTGCCCTGGCATAGCAAAGCTAGATCTTATACATTTAAGACTTGTAAAATACGCCACCATGTTGACATTTTTTTACACTCGCCACCGATTTTCAAATACACAATCGATTTTAAAAGAGCTTTGATTTAATAGCTTTAGAGTACCAGTTACCTGGATACTGGTACTGGACCAAAGCCGCAAAAATAATGAGGATTGCAGTAAGTGCCGTGCTCCATCCTCAATTTTTATTAAAGCAGTTTCAATGGTTAAGAGCATGCCTCATCTGCACATTACCAAACTTACTTCTCATGGACTTGAAGCTATAAGGACAGTCAGTAATCTCCGCAAGGCTTTTTCTGCTCTGCTGCCTATACCTAACAGTGGCGTCTTCTCTACTGATAGAAAAGCATCACGGCATGCTTTCGTGCTAATTCCGACTGAATGAGATACTCACGCAATGCTTGAGGACATAGAGTCATTTTCAGAGTGATTGTGATCCTAAATAGGTGTTGCTGATTACGCCGACCTCATTCACTCCTAATCACTGGGACACATGATATTTGATGAAGTTCTATTGCAATTTATCTCGAACCACATCTAACATCTAGTTATTTGTCTAATGTTCATGCGATTCCTTCTTTGCTGAATTGTTTGTATGGGCCGGTGCCTCCCACATTTTCATGGAGCAGAGTGCCCTAGTTTTCATATTTCATTGTCCCCACTGAATTTAGTAAACACCTTGTATGTAGGCCGACAGCAGATCTTTTTCAATCTTCTATTGCTGTCATCTGACAGTTTTAGGGTTTAGAAGAGCAGAATTATTTTGCAAGGATAAAAGTAGACTAGAACGACTTCGTGATATAATTTTTAGGCCATGGGATCATGAAATTTTTCTTTTCCTCGTAGCACAAATGATGTGGTCTTCATGGTCCAGGTATTCTGCATGTTCGGTTACTTGTGGGCAAGGCCGTCAGCGACGGCAGAGACAGTGCATGATAACTTCTCCGACGTCTTCAGGCACCTGTCCTGGGCCAAAAGAAATGTATGCTCCATGTCAAATGTTAGCTTGTCCAGGTTTGTAGTTTCTTAGGATTCAACTTGCATTCAGATGGTTGCATCTCAGTCTTAAAAACTTTTAGGCTGTTCCAAGAACAATAATTAAAATGTGTTTACAGTGATTGTCTGCCATTCTTAGTTGTCTCGTTCCATGCTAGACAGAGTCATAGGTTACCAGGCTTCTAATTTTAACCTCTTTTTCAATTTATGCGCAGAAGACAAAGTTCTCCCCTGTAACTGTGGATGTTCCCTGGAGGAAAATAAAGGCCAAATCTTATCTCAGCTGCCAAGTAAAGAGACCAAAAGTTGTGAATGGCGAATTCTTGCACCTAAGGGAACGACAATATCATTAAATGTAACTCGCCTTATTTTGAAGGCGGGTTGGGTGCGTATTGCCAGTGGCAAAAAGACCCTACTGACTCTACTAAAGCCAGGCCCTGAGCCTCCTTACCCATGGAAGTATAAGTCAGAGGGAAATCTGATGACTTTAGAGTTGCTTTCATACCCAGATGCAAGTGGCAATGTGGATTCTAATACGTACCTGGCAGCAAAATATAAACATATTCGAGGTATGGCTTTAGCTTGCTTGTTAAATGCTAAAACCCTATCTGCTAGACTCCCTTAAAGGACCGCAGAAAAAAGCTATCTTCGGCGAGGGATGAAAATTATTTTTTACCTTTCCTCTTGACATTTACCAATCCACTGTCAGTCTCAGATACCTAACCACATAGGCAAGACAAACTTAAAAGGGCTTTAAAAGCTCCAACCATTCGCACACAGGTTTGTCGTAAATATTTTTACAAATGTCCAATTCTGAAGAACAGTGTCAGATATATGAAATTGTTTTGAAACTTTTAGTAATACGTTTGAATAAATGTTTGCCAAGTGTCTAGTTCTTTAAAGGGTTGCCTTACTTTTGTCACACAAGATCAATTTTCTTTCCCTTAGTAGATATGAACTCCCGACAGTTGATAGAATTACTCATGAGAGTACTGTGTTCCATATTTGTCTTTAAGATCAACTGTATTTTTTACAAGATTTGAATAAGGTTTTGAAAAAATAGCAGTCACTTTAAAACATGACCACTTGGAGTCCAAGAGTAAAAACGAACTTCTCAGTCTTCACAAATGTGGTCACGTGCTCGCTTTCGGCCTTTATTCTGAATTTCTGGTCTTTTCAAAGCCATTTTCAAATTTTGTACCGCCAAAAAATTGTTCATAAACTCTTTATGTGTATGTAATGTTTTTGATGTTGCTCCTTTGTTCCAAGTATCAATTCCATGAGAAACAGTTTTCTGAAAGGTTAAAGATAAAACTTTACGTTAAAATAAATTTCTGGACCACTTGCTGACATATTTTTGTCGTTTTAGCAAACTCAAACCAGCCAGGCAATGGCGGGAAGGACGATAATAGCGCGGTGAGCAACAAGCCGAATTCCCTAGAGGGACACAGTGACAAAGAGCCGAACGTGCCTGCAATCATTGGGATTACGGCATGTGTTATCGTCATCATATTAGTTGCCGTGTTTCTTGCAGTTCGAAGGCATCATAGGAAAAATTCTAGTGATTCTGATGCTACTAATGAAGCAGTTAACCTCAGCACGGAATTCGATTACAAGGGACAACAAAACGCGAACGGGATCAAAGAAGAGAAACCGTTGATGGATGGCAAAGGGTCGCCTCAATTACCTCGCGCGGATCGATGCGCTATGCCGCAGTCGCAACTAGTTATGCGACCTAATGTGACTCAGGGAAGAGACTCTTCATCAGATACCGTCAATTATCCAATTCCAAATCAATATAACGGACAACGAAGAATGAATTATCCGCCTGACTTGTACATGAAACCTCCTCCTCTCAATTACATGCCGGACCCAAACATGGTGCGGATGGTTCCAGTAACTTCAACCGGACTAATACTGCAGTCTCCTCCTCAGCAACAATATATGATGCATGTGCCACCGCCACCGCGAAGCGATCACAGTTGATAGATCGCTCTTAGGAATCCATGGTGACATGGTGGCTGTATTGATTCTCATACACACTGATTCAGAGCTGCAAATGTCGCTTAGACTTAACAATACACGAAAAAAGGCAAACATTTTAATGGCTACATCCTTCTCTTCTGTAATGTATTTATTTTTTCAGAGTTCTTAGGATTTTGGTGTTAGGAGCCCTTCCAAAAATCATAACGAGTCTGCCCACGATTGTTAATAAATACAAAGAAATAATCATTCAATAAATTAACAATCATGTCGACCTGAAACTTCTAATTTTTGTCAATCAATTTTTGTTGAAAAATTGTTACAAATGGAGGATAGGATGCCTTGCTATATTTTAAAGTGGAAGACGGAAGCGATACCCTTTCGAAACAGAATCCAGCTTGAAATCCTTTTTGCTTAAATACTCAGAATTTGCATTTTATAAACGCATTTCTTTCAAACGAGAACTTCGCTGATTTTTTTCAATGAATTTCCATCGCTCAGGTAAGGATTAAACGATCCATGTATGATTCAGCTGAAGCGGTATCTTCACACACTTACAATCCAATTTCTGATCGCAGAAAACTCGCAGAAATTTATAAGTAGATTTTCGAGTAAGAACGGCCTGCACTCGCCAGATAGTCTAAATTTCTTCCTGTCGCATTTCCGTGGCGGCATGTCCGATTGTTGCTCGCTGGAGTAGCCTGGGAAGGAATCTAATTGTTAATGCTATTTTTAATAAGTTCGTTTCACGCATCTCGTTTAGTTTATAGGAAAATACAAGCATGAGCAATGAAATTGCAGTTGTTTATTATTGATGTTTTTTTAAAGCGTCCCTTTGTTTGTTGTGCTTAGATTTGTTTAAAGACATGGAATCGTTCCAAGAAATCGAATTTTTAGTTGTTTCATTCGCTCTCCCTCAATTACCATTGCGGTTGTTTTTCTGACATTTCTGCACGGGATGGCACATTAATTCCCCCCTTGCTGCAACCGATATCTTATTTATTTGTTTAAATGTTGAAAATGGATGGTTGGTCTCAGGATCCATAGCTTGTATCCTTTGATTACCTTTGGAAGTATCTTATTCATATAATCTGCAAGAAAATTATAGAAAAAAAACAAAAAGTAACCAAAACATACCTAGCCTTGGGGATTTTCGAAAATCAGGATCAAGCATGTTGCACGAGATTTAAATCAAATTTGTTGGGATAGTTTTAAAGTTTCTTCAAAAGTCTTCTTTTTTACAGTTGCAAGACGATCTACTTCTCAGTTTATGAAATTTGCATCGAGTTAGGTTTAGTTTTCGCGCTTACTATTGTTTTCGCTCCAGTGGGTATATCTTTCAACTAATTAGAATTTTGAATGGCTGAAATCTTGAAAAAGTTATGAAACAGCCTGAAAACGTTAAAAAATGCCACTGTGCTATGTTAACGCAAACCGTTGTGTGAAAATTCTGTAATATCAAAAGGTTAGACTGCTAAACAATGTTAATGATGTAATAGAAATTTATCGCATTTGTAAGTGTATATAAATTTGTTACAAAATAAAGTTGATTCTTTTCGTAATCGATTCTCTGTTTTCGAAACCATAACACGTGGTTGTGGTAACAAAAATCTCTTTTTAAGAGAGTTTATTATAAACCAACGGGTTCCAACTCCTCAAGACCAAACATCTTCAGACTAACCAGATATCCTTTGCCTATAATTGTATCGAGTCGTCATAATCTCGTTGAATCAATTCATACAGTCTTTATTATAATTTCTCTAGTTTTTCCCGTGGTACGCATCAAAAGTTTTGTTCTGACCCCTCTCTCGACCAGTTCTAGTTGAGACCTCGAGTTTAGAACAAGACAATAATTAAGACCCTTGTAATCAAATAAAGCGACCTTATGGTTACTAAGGTTCCAAAGAATAAGAATTGACAGCAAATGACGTTGGGACTGACGTACACATTTTGTCATGTTTCTACTCATATAATAGTCTTTTCAAGCCAAATAAACGTAGGGTCAGATCCTCTAAAGTGCATGAGCCCGATAAAGAATGATCACTTTCTAAGAATGCCTGTGCGTGTTGATGTTTTTGTAGGCATCAAGAGGCATGAAACTTTTCGATTACCTAAACTTCATCGGTCTCAATGTAAGGACTGCTATGCTAGAGTGGTAGTTATAGGTGTGGCGAAACAAAGTCTCAGTTTTACAGGTTTACACTTTTCAAGGGTGTCGAGGTTGTCGACGTCGAGAACGTATTGATTCAAAGCTTAGCATAAATTGAAGGGTATCTCTCCTACTGCAGGCTTTATCTTGTTAAAAACGTAACATTAAGGGCAGATAAGAACGGTTTGGAAATGTGAAAGTAAATTGGATTACGCTTTAAATATCTTAAGTTGCATTGAAATTAAGTAAACACCACGTCTGCGGAATATATCATGATAATTAGGAGTTTCTTTGAGACAGTAGAATCCTTGATAACAGTCTAAGACCATGAATCAAACAGTAAAGAGTGGCGTGGCACGAATTCTGATGGCCTGAGTGGGCTAACCACAGCACACCCAACCCTCGGGCCTTACACATGATGATAAGAAGTGGAGCCTCGTTATGGATGAGCCTGCGTAGGCATAAGGCACCACAAAGAAGCACGCTACAGGGTAATGAAAAGATCTGTTGCAGAAATCTAGTGGTTGCAAGATAAAAGTGTCAGTTCAGTAGCTGAAGAGGAGAGGGCGGTGCGTGAAAAACTTAGGCTGAACTTGCGAAGTTGATTAAATCAGTCATGAAACATTATCAATTGTGCGCTGAACGGCCCATTATTTGAACGCACGAATCATGATTGTCAGTTCAACCGAATTTACGGTGTTGTTGGGGCTTTCCTATAGGCTCCTATGCTATAGGCTCCTTTGCTAAAGGCTCCTGGCCCTTTCTCTATCATCACTGACTACAAAAAAGTGTTATCGAACCAAAACAATTATTTGATACTTCCACCATTAACGACTGTCTATCTATCATTTATCGACTTTCTGCCTTCAACAGTCCAATGGAGATATCGAAGTTTTCACCTATCAGGAGACTGGGCAGCAAGGTGTCACCCCTTCCTTATCCTCATTATCCACGGACCGAGCCTATTACAATAGAGGCCGCTCATTTTATATGGCCGCGGATTCAATATATGTAAACAGAGTGATATATCAACCAGTGGATGGGTTCATATAATATAGTATGAGGGAAACAGCAGTTTTCCATATTAGGCTTGAAATGGAAAACCTGTCTTGTGGAAACTTTCATTATTGGAACCATCAGCACAACCAATTTTCTGGACGGCCGAGTCCTACATAGTTCATACCCTGATATAACAAAGTCCTATGAAAATATTATTGACAGAAGCTTAGAAATATTCTTAAAAAGCAATCTTTACAAGTTGTTGCCATTAAAGATTAGAATTCAACTGACGAACTAAAGGATAAATCTCAGAACGATTCATGGAAACATCAAACGCTAAAATACACAGGAACAACTGCATCGAACGGTGATACTAAGAGTCACATGGTTTCAAAACATTGACACTAGTTTCAAATGGATTAGTTACAACAAGTTAACATACTAAAGACTACATGAAAATAACTGAAAGCAAAATAACGTTACAACTTACGAACAATGAAGTAAGGAGTAAGGAGGGTTCAGCTGTTGTTGTCCACGCTTTTCATTGAGAGAACATTTAACTTGATATCTCTAGTATTAAGTAAAGGGAAGTTAAAAAATCTGTCATAATTTTGGAACGCCCCAGAAAAAGTTGGACAGGAACTGCTACCTAACTGAGACGTTTTTGTTATTGTTTTTTAGTAGAAGTTGACATCAACCTAGAACTGTAAATTGTAGCAAACGTACTAGGATCTATAGGGATTTTACGAGAAATAGTTATTAAAATGCACAATATTTTTGTATCAAAGTATAAAATAAAGGTCTCTTTAATAACTGTACATATCAAACGTTCTTTATCTTTAAAGAAACACTTAAAAATATGTGTTCATCATGTATTCGCCTGAAAAAGTTCATATTTTAGGCTCATCCAAATATATTTAGATTATTGTCTGCTTCGTTTTAGCGACGGAGGAATTTAGCTGCTCACTTTTTGCGTCTTTTCCTTTTTACCTAACATTAAAGCAAATGAAACATTAATTTAAAACATTGCATCAACTGAATGCACAAATATAAACAAATTATCAACTGACAACGACAAGCAAAAGGGGGAGCTTAAAAATATTTAGAAACTTTAAGATGCTACCAACGAAACTTTCTTTATAAGAGGTTATAGAGATCTTTAGTTCATGTAATCTAACAGAACAGTCATCCAGGAGGCTCTAAAATGGCCTGACTTTTATATCGTATTCTAAAAGCTGTTTAAATTTTACACAATTTTAAAAGCACAAGAGGACAGAAAATGTTACAAATCTCTAATAACATAATTGTCACAGCTAAAATAGTCGGAGCCAATTTTCCAAGTTACATGGAAAATTTGTGGCAACAAAAAGTAAGATTACTGAAAAATACTTACACTCATCCCTTCAGATGGCCTCTCTTCAGGGACTATTTTCGGTTCTCTTGCCTAAAAGGGGGAAGATGAAAAGAAGATAAAAGTGGGATACTTTAATAGAATTTAAAGAATGAAATATGTAAGAGAGCTGATCATAAATATACAGAACCATAAACATTCGATGATCTGAAGGCAGAATTGCCATTTGGGATTCGAGAGGAAGCACATCGCTGAGGCTTACTTAACCTATGAATATCCATTGGGATAATGAAAAAAATTATCGGTATAGACCAGCCTGAAAATTGGTAAAAATGTATTATAAATTAGTAGTGCAAACTATTAAACACTATTGATCATTCAAAAAGCTATGAAATAATTGTTGACGAAATATGTTCAACAAACGATGGGAGTTACTCAGATGAACTTATCTTGGAAAACTAGCAACAATTTGCAAGGAAATGATATAGTAACTAGTTGATTTACGACTCACTGCACGTTTTGGGTTCACATGAAATACAAGCAGATAAATAAGGGACAGGTTTGTGTCTGCCCATCGGAGGCCCATCAACTTAATGATTTATTAAAACGACTGAACCTATTCTAAACACACACGCATTACTGAGTGAACGACAGCTGCAAATCCAAACGCTGGTTAAAATCTATGATAAAGGCAGTCTAATGGAGATAAGTAAATCTTAACATGACAGTCAGTTGGTATTAACACACTCTCAAGGTTCTATTAAAGCAGCACAAATCCACAAAGACATATGTTACTGTCACACGTTGTCTGCATGAAATTCCAGCATTTGCGCAAAGGCTCGGCTTGTGTTACTCTGTTTTAAAGCTTTTATCAGAGGTTTAGGGCGTCAATATCTCAGTATACTGGCAGAGAAAGACTAATACGGGTAGAATTTAGCTTGGGTGGAGTTGGGTAGCATAAAACGTGTGTGGAGTCAGGTAGCCTTAAACTTGGGTGAAGTCGCAGTAGGTAGTCGGGTAGATTCAGTTGGATGGGACTTAGTCGGACAAATTCATAGCCGTGATAGGTCAAAAATAGTAGGTGTTGTTGTTATGAGGAAGAAGAGGAAGAAGAGGAAGAAGAAGGGGAGGTAGCCGTGTGTAAGGGATAAGAAGAGAAAGAAGAAGAAAACAAAGAAGATAAGGAAGATGAAGACGAAGAAATAGAGCAAGAGAAAAACGAAGGTGAAGAACAACAAAGAAGATGGCCAAAACCTATATCAACAACCCTTGGGATTGTTGAGAAAAATGAAATGTAACAATTCACAATGTATAAATTGTGATAATAAGCTAAAAATAACGAGTCAAAGTTTCACAAACTTCTTTTTCCTGTTCTTTTTCTACTTCTTCCTCGAAACTTCCGTCATTGTCAGTGGACTGAGTTCTGTGAGGCCAAAATCACGATATTATTATGTTGCCTGCCAGGGTGTCGTATCAGACACAACAAGTATCAGACACAACAAGGCTAAATAATCGATTTGGCAATATCTACAAGTTTTTGTCACCACAAATGACTTAAAACCTCCTTATAACAAACACCAGTGGGCGCAGGGTTACTCTCCGTTGTACGGAGGTGCCCGTTGTATGGAGATAACTTCTAGACTTTGACCAAAGAAAATAAATTACAAGACACATTCCTTTGTTCGTTGCTTGAAAGTGTATGTTATCGAGAGGTTTCCCTTCAATGGAGATACTGCACATAATAAACAAGACAAATCTGAATAATTTTCATAACGCTTTTTAATCTCAATACTTCCATCGACTGGATCTTAGAGAATAGATGTATACAGCCCGTCCCTACGATTATTGTCTAGTAATTTTTGGTTATATATAATCTTTAAAACGTTATTCAGATTGTCGGGTTCTGCTCTCCAACATTCAATAAAAATGAAAAGGTGCGGCCATAGAAAAACCCCTTCTCAAAGTATCTACATTGTCAGGCAGGTCGCAGCATGAACACGAGACCCGCTTAAAAAGTTGAAGGCAGTAAGGGTCGTGGTGTAAGGTGTCGCTCTTGCATTCCTTGAATGGGAAAAGCAGGTAGACTACTTGAGGCAATATGACCTGCTTTAAAGGCTGGCACCAAATTTCGTTAATGGTTTTTCCTGGTATCAAAGCCATGAACAAAAAATTCAGTAATTGAGGTGACAAACCATTTGGTGAGCCGAGAAAACTAATATCTGAAATTGGAAATTGACTCTTCATAGAAAAGACCACCTCAAAGGATTATTAGCAGAATGAAAGTATTGTGAAACAGTACAGAAAGAGTTCAAGCTCAGGTTTCTTTTATGCTACTTCATGACATATATTTTTGCGAATATTGGAAATAGCAAGTACATTTCATTACAGTACAGAACAGTACAGAACAGTACAGAACAGTACAGAACAGTACAGAACAGCACAGAACAGCACAGAAAAGCACAGAACAGCACAGTACAGCACAGCACAGTACAGTACAGTACAGTACAGTACAGTACAGTACAGTACAGTACAGTACAGTACAGTACAGTACAGTACAGTACAGTACAGTACAGTACAGTACAGTACAGAACAGTACAGAACAGTACAGAACAATACAGAACAGTACAGAGCAGTACAGAACAGAACAGTACAGTACAGTACAGTACAGTACAGTACAGTACAGTACAGTACAGTACAGTACAGTACGGTACAGTACAGTACAGTACAGAATAATACAGAACAGTACAGAACAGCACAGAACAGCACAGTACAGCACAGTACAGAACAGCACAGTACAGAACAGAACAGCACAGTACAGCACAGTACAGAACAGCACAGTACAGAACAGAACAGCACAGAACAGCACAGAACAGCACAGAAAAGCACAGAACAGCACAGAAAAGCACAGAACAGCACAGAACAGCACAGAACAGCACAGAACAGCACAGTACAGCACAGTACAGCACAGTACAGTACAGTACAGTACAGTACAGTACAGTACAGTACAGTACAGTACAGTACAGTACAGTACAGTACAGTACAGTACAGAACAGTACAGAACAGTACAGAACAATACAGAACAGTACAGAACAGTACAGAACAGAACAGTACAGTACAGTACAGTACAGTACAGTACAGCACAGAACAGTACAGTACAGTACAGTACAGTACAGTGCAGTACAGTACAGTACAGTACAGTACAGTACAGAACAGCACAGAACAGTACAGTACAGTACAGTACAGTACAGTACAGAACAGCACAGTACAGAACAGCACAGAACAGCACAGCACAGAACAGAACAGTACAGTACAGAACAGTACAGTACAGTACAGTACAGTACAGAACAGCACAGAACAGCACAGTACAGAACAGTAGAGAACAGCACAGAACAGCACAGAACAGCACAGCACAGAACAGTACAGTACAGAACAGTACAGTACAGTACAGTACAGAACAGCACAGAACAGCACAGTACAGAACAGTACAGAACAGCACAGAACAGCACAGAACAGCACAGAACAGCACAGAACAGCACAGTACAGTACAGTACAGTACAGTACAGTACAGTACAGTACAGAACATTACATAACGTATGCCAACTTGTACTGGAAACCGCCAGCAAAGACCGCAGATGAGGCTGATAGAGCATGGCAGCTAGGAAGAACAGAAACGAGACATGATAAAACATACCGCTCAATCTTCTTTTGGCTCATTCGTTTTCTTGAAGAAACAGCGGGCGTTTCCTCGGGTACTACCTTGCTTCGTTTATTACCAGCCAATCGTAGATTTCTGCCAAATCAAATGTGTAGTTATATAAAAGATAAGGCAGTCGAAAGCGCACGCCATCTATTTGGCTCAGGCAGCAATAACCTTATTAAATACACTTTGACATAAAAACTGCTCTAAGCTTGCGTATCACTTCATCAGACAAGAGCAATGCATAGCTTAAGGCTGCAAGTATGTTCTTATACCTACACAGCTATAGCTGAAACAATCGCTTATGAACAGTAGCGTTATCAAAATTTATTTATCGCCTATTTTTGGGACCAATTATGTGATATCTGATGAGAAAAGTGTGCGTTAAAATCAAGGTCTTCATTCCACGTCAGTAAGCATCTATTGGTTTATCAACGGTATTAAAGCGAAGACACTTTAAAACCTTTAAAGAACTCGCAGGCATGCCGTCTCTTACCACCAATTCTCCACAACCAAATTAAATTTGTTAAACGATAATTGTAATTTGTTTAGGTGATCGGAAATCTTGAGTGGTTACACTGCCTTTCCGTAGGGACTTGCTTATGCAGGGGCTTTTTGTCAACATAAAGAGACCAAACTTTAATTTCCCTGAGAGAATAACCCCACATTATCCACGATAAACAAGAAAAGCTTGCAGCTCTGAAAGGAACTAATTTCCGATTTTTTAACCTGATCAACACCATTTCTGTTACTTATGAAGTACACAAGGGTTAACGCCTAAAGGACTTCAAAGATATAAGCGTCCTTTCTATTTGCTATTACCGACACATGAAAATGCTTCAAGCATCAATACTGGATAGGCACATTTAATCAGGATAACTTATTTATCCGTTCTGTTTGCGTAATAAACATACGCGAATTTTCTCTCCTATAAAAAATACTGTATGATAAGTGCATGAGAATAAAACACTCCTGTTATTATCCCTATAGACCTATAGTACTCATTAAGTCTTGGTTTACCAACGAAAAAGACATTAATGTAAGAGCCACATCTTCGCAGATCCAATTAAACATAAGGGCGATTCGAGTAGTTTCACAAGAGGATAAAGGCCATTTTCATAATGCAAACAATCCTACCTCGTTTCTTTCTCCAAAACATCTGCTACCTCTTCAGCAAGCTCCTCCACAGACTCTGCCATCAGGGAACTTGCATCCGAATGATCTGCAATTTTGTCTTCTAACTTACCATCATCCTCTAAATCTGACTTCTTCCCTTTCGCCTTTATTTGGACTTCAACCGTTTCCTGCTCGTTGCTTTCGTCAACTTTGTTCGTTGAAATGACCGCATCGTCCAAGCCTGGTTCCTCTGAAATGTTCTCTTCTGCAGAACTGTCGTCTACGTTGTCTTCCACAGTCCTTCAAAAAGGAAACAAGCTAACATTAATTGCAGCAATAAAATCAAGATAACAAATATATCTAGCTGAATATGGCTAGTATGAGTAGGTTTCCCAAGAGTTAATTCCCAGTTTTCCTTAGTTTTGAACCGGTTATAAAACATATCAACATAAATGCCATTCAAAGGAAAGCCATAAGGACGTAGAATTTTATCGGGGTGGCGCTGAAGTATATGACGCAAGTAATTGTTAGTTGTTCCTTCACGTCTTAACACAAACGAACTTTCTGGAAACTGAAATCTTGAACTCTGTTCCTTTTGCCTCCGGCCTATGAACCAAAATTTTCAAAACCTGTGAGGGTGGGAACTACATTCGTTTGTTTTTCACAACTTTCTTTACAACTGTTTGCTGTGGGACCGAATCTCTTCTGGATTGTGCTTAAAACCTAAATAAAAACTGGTAGGGAGCCATCTAGCAAGTATTGTGTAAAATTTACGGGAATGCGTCGAAGCAGATACGCTTCATTTTAATACATTCGATTTAGCTTCCGTCGTAAGGGATTAACATCATTGTATATCCTGTTCTTGATCTTTTAGCAAAGATTGTGATGAAATTAGCAATGCTGAATAGACTATTTTGGATTAATCCAGTCTTGCGTTTATATTCTAGATGATTCATAGCGCTTTACTTGGCCTATTTCTTCTACTTTTGGTATAGGACGTAGGACAGATGACAGCGCTGGAATAAGAAACAACTTCTAGCTTTAGCAAGGACACTGTAAAATCGGCTAAGTTACAGCCATCAATTAAGAGCGAATGCAATGTAATACTCCTAAAAATGGGATTAGAGTTTAGAAGAGAGGTGTTCCCTGTGTATGCTTAAGGATATTTGCAACGACACGTCTAAAGGTCGAGCTAGTTAACCACAATTCACTGTGTTTATTCAAAGTATTGGATAAGAGCCGGCTCTTTTTAATTCAAAGAATATCCAATTTAAAATAATTCTGACCAAGCTTAAGGACGGGTTTAAATTCGATCCAATGACAGCCGTACGTCCCATTTAACGTGAAAGGTCCAAATTAAGAATATATCTGATCATTAAAAACTTTCACATCACAGCTATTAATACATGTTTAAGAAATCCTTTTCTAAATGACTGACTCAAATGTCAGCTGCAACAAAACTGCCATAGCTTCATAATGTTATAAGAATAATGCTTTTGTTTGACAATTATATCGAGAATGTTTCTATGACGCAACATTCTATCTTTACTGTTGACAACACTCTGTTGTACCTCAAGGTTTGAAAATCTTAAAAAGATAGCCATTGTTAGCAATAATATTGTTTTGAATTTGGTCTTATCTTCAAAACATTTTTGCTTCAAAATATTGAATACAACAAGGGAAATTGTTTTTGTGACTGACCCGGAAAAGGGAGGCGATAAAAATCTTCCAGACATGTACAAATGATAAGAGCCACCAGATCATAAACCAAGGGCTTAGAATGTATTGGAATTCATATCAAAATAAAATCCCGGGCTTAACCTTTTCAAATCTAAGCAGACTTAAGGTTCAACGAGAACGCTGACTTCATAAATCTAGCTAGAGGGGAAACGTCAAACCTGAAAAAACAGGTAAACGTTAGCACCGATAACAATAATTAGTTTCATGTTTTTTAAACTCGTCACTGCCTTATTTATTATTTTTGATTACCTCAAGCATACCTTGAGTTTCTAGCTAACTAGCTTATGTCGCAGAAGACAGAAAGTGACGCATTTAACCAATACAATCGTTAAAAAACTGGGAAAGGTTCAATAGAGAACTGCTAAACATTGCTTGGCTTTGCATCGTTTTTAATTTTCTCGGGTGTTGTTTCATCATCTTAAAACCATTTAGAGCGGATTGTTACAATGCCCGATTGAGTTGTTAATTAACTAGAATAAATTGGTTTTCACATAGGTTCGGCCACCTAGCTCTTGAAAAATGAAGGCTCTTGTCTGAAGTTGCTTTTTGACGCAGAAGAACAGCGACACAACCGAGGTCTGCAGTTACACTTAGGGCGTCTCAAAGGCTTACAGATATCTATTTCGCGGTTTTTGATATAAATTTCATTGACAATTTGTGTTATATTTCCTAGAAATATTTCCTGCCACAAATTCTGCGAGAAGAAAGCCAAAGAAGGGGTAACGTACTAATTATGATTCAAAGAATGCGCTATGTTTACAAAAGCTTTAAAGCAAGACTCGTCATTATCTCCAACATCTTTAAAGCATTGGCAACAGGAACCAGTGCAGTATTTAGAACTATAGCGAATTATAATTTTATAAGAAACACCTGACAACTTATTTAAACAAATGACTCTGGATTGTTTCTGTTTTTCCCCGACACCTCAAGGCCACACAGACAGCAAAGTAGCTAAGCAGATATAACAAACTATGAAAGTTAGATTGATATTTCAATTGAAAATTCATGTTCATTTTTTGGCAGTTTCCCACAAGAAATATCTTGAGGAAGATTGTTTTCACAGGTGTATCAATATTACTTAAAAACCCTTTGGTTTACACTGAGGATGGCGATATTCTCTCTACCCGATCAGGCAAATTCTATTAATGGCCGTTTAAGCTCAGTCACCTCTGCTAGACGAGCTGGAAATATAATTCGAGGACAACACCTAAGTCCTACAAAATGATTGGTTTTTGCTTCTCGCCAAACAAGATAAAGTCAGATTAACATTTTTTAGTTGAAATGTCATTGCGAAGGATTGTTCAGAATGACTGTCATTGTAGAATGTCTGCCAAGACTTTGTTACATCTGAACTACTTAGCTATACATTCAGACTGCCTTCAAAGGGCATATTCCAATAATGCGACACTTCAAATAACGGACACCACTCAAAACGAACAATTCCCAAAAACGGACACATCTCTTAATTAATAAACCCTTCCCAATAACAGACATGCCATATAAAGACCACCGACTAATAACGGCCACTTTCTAATAACGACCACCCCCAACAACGGACATCCCCTATAACAGACATTTCCAAATAACGTCCATCTCCTTTTAGTGAATACCTCCCAATAAAAAATTACATAATGACCCTGCCTGCTCAAACATTAAGCATTAGACAGATCCTATGACTTTTACAACAAGGTCTCAAAAATTATATCAAAAGCATCACTACTATTGGCTGTCAGATCACCGACTACAGCGTGTTTCTTACAGGCTTGTGATTAACTATTTGCAGCAAATAATTTTAAAGCAATTCTTGTGGCTACCTGCAGTAACGCTTGTTTAGGTCCGCATGAAATACATTTCAAGGCAGATGCCTATTTAAGAAAGCCAATCATGCTTCCAAACGATGGAAACTAACAATTAGTTAGAAACTAGAGGGTAAAATTAAATGAACTCACAGGCAGTCCTTCTCATCCTGTTTTTCTTCAACCACTTTGCTCATCAAAACTTTGAATTCGTCCCCTTTTAGTCGTACTCTTGTGGATCTAAAAACGATTCAAGTAAGATATTAATAAAGGAAGGAAGCTAGGTGCTGTTATAACGGAAACTAGGATTGCTGGAGCGGAGCAGTTGATAATCTAAATAAAACATAGAACGATTAGCTTCTTGAAAAAATGTCTAAAAGCACACAAACAGAAGACTTCTTTCACAGATCTGTGTATTGCATGGTTTAAAAATTATAGTCTACACCAACTGCGGGGCTAACAAAAGTTTATGAAGATGAAGACAAAGATCCTTCTTGCTTACAAAAAAGATTCCTTTTCTCAAGACCATTTGAATGTTTCATGCAAAGAGCAATTTTACGCTAACAATTACTAAGTTTTCTTAACGATAGAATAAATTTCCTCTTTTCCTATCTTGTATTACCCAAAATCAGAGACTGTCAACTCAACATATACTATTGTGATGCGCATGTATGGCTCACAAGTATTATTGTAGTTGAGCACGGTCAAAGAAGGTGCAGGGTAATTAAAGAAATGTTGATTAAAGAATGCCGTATGTTGGAATTGGTCCCCTCGAATAAGTCCCCACCCTAGAACTATAAATTGCCAATAAGTCCCCCTCCTTGAATTGCCCCCCCCCTCGATTTGTTGATTTTTACCATCTGAGATTGCCTATGAATTACCACAAAAATTCATACTTTTGGTAATAATGAAATTTTCATAAAGAAATTCCTATTAAAATACACGAGGTATTTTAATAATACGAGGTTGTTCATAAGCCCCCCTCGTAAAAGCCCCCCCTCGTAAAAGCCCCCCTCGAATAACCACCCCAACCAAGAGACGTTTGGTCCGTCTGGCCAGGCCTTTATTTTCGGTATCCAAACAATTGATGTCAAGTAAATGCAAAAGATTACGAAGAGCTTTTTCAATGCCTCACCTTTTCGACGAAGAAACCTTCGTGGGAACCGGCTTCATTTCAATGACACCAGGTTTTTTAGGCTAAAAGAAATTTTGAATAATTTCTATTAAAAATAACACACAGCAACAGCAACAACAATAAAAACTGGGTTCCTTCTCCTGCGCAGCAATACTGAGTTTGAAATAACAGATTTGATATTTGTTCTGAGCAAAGGATTAAATAAAAGGGTGAAAATTGTAACTTTTGCAAAAAAATAGAATAGCACATTCTTACTTTGGGCGGAAGGTGGAAACTTGCAGGAAGATAGTTCTTCGTATTTGGCTTTGCCTGCAATTCAAGAGATTTCAGTCAGGGTTGCACAAATATGGATACAACAACAGGTTTGCAGATGTATGAATACCTTAATTTTAATGAAAAGAAATATGAATTGCACCAAGAGCCAGAATAAACACATCCGATGATTTGCAAAAATTGGTGATATTAGTTTCTTCCATCGGAATTTTTTCAAGCTTTGGTACAAATGGCTTGAAAAGCACTCTCGATTGTTCTAAGGGCAATATCGAACAAGACCCTAAAAAACAAGCTGTTCAGCTGTCAAAACACTGCAATTAGCAAAGATAAGCTGCTTTTTGCGTAAATCAGTGATAAATACATATCTAAAAGACAATTTCAAAATGCATGACAAGAAGCATTCGATTCTATAGCAAATTTCCCAGTAGCCCATTTATTCTGTTAAATTGCTGTACATCTGACCCTGTAACTCAAAGTATAGTTTTAAGTTCACTCGATATACATGTAATTTCACTCCTCTGATAAAATGTTCATATTTCATTCAAAAGCAAATTAAAAATCGGTGCAAAGGGCATTTATCAAGTGATTACAGTAATGACTTACTGGCTTCTTTGCGGCATGGAATAACTTTTTAGGAAGCACGGGATTACCAGGAAAATCCTTTAGAACTAGTGTGTGAATCTGATTAAAAGCAGAAACATAATAAGTCAGGGAAAGAGCTCACATAACAGGAAAACCTGGTCTCAAAAGATCTCACAAGACATAAAGATATGACTATTCTTGATTACAAAGAAGAATTGCTTAACGAAAAAGCAAAGCACGATGCTCGTGAGGCAACGAAGGGGGTTTAAAACGAAAAACCCATCTTGAATAAACAGAATAGGTTATAACATACATAAATGGCTCCAATAAGGGTCATAAAGAGTATGTCAATGATACAAGAACTAAGCCTAAATTGTTGACTTGAGTGTACTAAGCATTTCTAGAAATATCATAATTGAGGAACAAGAAGAGCTATTTGGCATTGCAGTGTACGCAAACCTTTCGAAAAACTGGAAATAAATCTCTAAGCATTAAATACAGTCCAAAACAATCATACCTTGTTGGTTAAAAGCCAAATGACAATATCACAAATGACGTATAATTTCTGTGGAAAAATAATCATCAGGTTATCGGAGATAGAGAGTGGTGGCGATCAGATGTCAAGAAATGGGCGCACAAATGGCCTCACCAGCTACAGTCTTCATAATGATGTCATCAAATTCCTACTGAATTAGGCCATTGTCCAATTTATACAGTGTTTGGGAATAGTCCTAAGGCAAGGCCTTAAAATATGAGCAACGGACATGCGAATAAAAGCAAGATAGATTGATGTTGAGATTGACAATATTATTTAATGCAGATAGCTACTTAAACATGTATTCTAGTTGCTTAAATGACGGAATATACCTCATTTGAAACATCATTGTCCGGGTCCTCGGCATCTTGAACCTGTTTGATGTTTTCAGCTAGCTTCTTCAAGAAGCTTGAATTTTCTGCTTTCGAGCCGAGAAGAGGTTCAAGGAAAAACCACAAGTATCTGCTCAAAATAAAAACGAATACTTTAATAAGTTCTTGTATGAACTGATGGAAGTGCATATGAATCAATATCAGTGGGTTGCACCGAAGCAAGCAAGTCATTGCTTGCAACATCCTAGAATTTAAGTATGAAACTATTTCTTAAATCAGAAAGACGTCCATTAAAATCGTATTTTGATTTGTCCAAATCGAGAACTAAATAAACTTAAAACTCAAAGGGCTTATATGGTCATAAAAGTCAATATGGTTAAGATAATTGTCTTACAAGCCTATAAGGCTAAATTCAGCCGCAAAACTTTTATGAAGAAATTTTCGTTCGCAATTTAGTTCCAATTAAGGTTTTTGCTAATATATAAGGTATATAAGACTTTGCCACGACAACGACTTAAAACTGTTTAAAAACCGAGGCCTGAGACCATCTGTTTAAACAAAGGAGGGTTGGCGCTGTTTAACCTTTTGCCTAAATTAACCAATTAAATAAACATCAGAACGCAAAAAATATTGATGATAAGTCCTTTAAATACATTAGTGATTTAGGAAGGCACTCAACTCAAGCCACAATAGATTAGATTTGAATTTGTCTGACTTGGCTGTCTATCTAACAGGAAATAATCAAAATAAGACTTATCAATATAATCAGTCTTCATTTTCTTTCCCTGGCTTAAGCATTAATCTGATCCTAAGGCTGAATTCATAAAATGAATTGGATTCAACAGTGAATGCAGAAATCATCGAAGGCTTACTCTTTTGCTTCGGACAAAGAATCTCCTTTTTTCGGATCGAAATCGGGGTTATGCGCCATCAGATATATGACATAAGGAAGTGCGTACTCTGGCAGAATCGTATAGGGCCGACCTGAAAAATGGCAAAAAAAATCAAGGACACGGCAAAATTACTAGACACGACTTACTTTTTATCGCGAATATTATGCGATAAAAAGTAAAAAGAAATCTTTAACGCAACAAAACTAACATAGAAAATCAACGAAAAATAACTAGCAAGAACTGACTTATTGCCTCAAATGTATAGATTTGAGATCAGAAACTGCAAAACTGTGCATCAAAATTTTAAAAAGAAATCGCCAGGACCTTTCTTCGTGGTATCTGTGTGTGTTCTTATTATATCTATCATTGTAAATATAAAACTAACATATAATGACATAACAACCCCCCCCCCCCCACCACCACCACCATAAAACGCTTTATAGTCAAGTACTGCCACATAAACGCGTATTTTAGCAGTTTTCGATTAATTCACGTTAAAGTCTAGAATATAAACTGTGTAAAATGAGATCGAGGGACCTAATCAGAGCAATAGGTTACGAGGGCCAAAGTTCCTACAGCAGTGTTGACTTCAAGTTACCTAAACAGCATTCTGACCTGGTCTAAAGGAATTTAAATCCATAAAAACACGATTATACATTCTGTTTGAAAAATCCTTTCAACATACTGGCAACGTTGGGGTTTTGCTTGATGTAATCTCTACGTGTCTGTGCATTCTTTGCAATCATTTGGCGTGCCTGTTGGGATAAATATATGTCAATATATTATGGTCTGATTATGTGGCAGAGGTGGCTTAACTATGACAGGCACATTCATAGCATTTGACTATCGTAAAATCTAAAATCTACGATAATAAATTTATCGTCCTCGTAAAATCTACAACGCTGAAATTCGATAATGAACAGATACTGAAATTGGTAGTTTTGAATGATAGAGACATTTTTTATTGGAAATAGATATTTATCAGAGATTCCTAAAGAAAATCAATTCAATCCGATCATATGGATTTGCATTCACGACTGCCGTTTGAATCAAAGTGGATCAAGAAAGTATCAGCACGAGTTTCGATCGAAACCTGGGTTATTTCTTGACATCTCTAATTATGTAGAATGAATTAGTGTTCTTTGTTTCAACTGAGAATCTTAAAGCAATATATCTGCCAAAAAGGTAAGGATGCATTCAAACATCGATCTGCCAACAGTTTCTAGAAGAGAACTAATTCATTTTGAGGTCTGGTTGGCAAAGGTTTCCACGATGTTACAACCAGATATCCATTTGGGGCTAGGGGGACTGGGGGCGAGCGTCAAAGTCATGGACCGAACCAAGATTCCAATCTTCTGCAATGCAGTCAAGTGCTTTAACCACTTGCATCTTCGCCTACAGATCAACCAGGGCGAGCTATAGCCAAAAAAGCCAGGAACTTTTTCCGCACACGATAACAAAAAGGTTGTTTCATAGCCTTACTTAAATCCTAACATTGCTAAAGAAGGCCTAGCATTTAGGTCATCCTTTCTAGAAAGATCGAAAAGGAACCTTAGATCCAACTTTTGAAATTGGTAGCAGCAGTCAGAATCGTAGCCCTTTTACTGCCATTATTGAAACTCTTATTAATTTTCAGGGGGATGATTAAAGTGTAAGCCTAACAGCAATGGATAATAGCTCAGCCTTCAATGCTATGTGGGGCATTCCAGACATGGATCAACTTTGATATGATATTTAGAACGTTGATCCGGGCTCCATTTATCACCCACCAGAAGGTTTCTCTGCGACAAGGAAAGATTTTTGCCCGTATCGATAGCCTTCATATGGGATTGGTGAAATAGACTTCAAATCCAATAACTAGAGAAACCGACACAGTTGACATAGAGTAAATGGGCCGCAGCACAAAACGTTATTGGGGCTCAAGGTAGGGGGCCGGTGGGAACCCATATGAAGTTTTGGTACCATGTCCATATCATTCCAGGGAATGGACTACATGATCTAAAATATCAACACCGTTTAAATAATTATTCATCCCTTACAAGTAAAAGAAAAAACTTCCCTTGAACAACAATTTTATGAAAAGAGTTGCTTCTATCTGTTTGACAGTCCGCTATCACAAAAGTTCAATGATCACAACAATAGTCAACGAAGACAGCGAGTTATTGATTTTACCTGATTCCTTCGATCCTTGGATGGGTCGACAGCAGAAAGCATGAAAAATGCGAGATAGTCTAAAGGCAGCTTCAGTACTTCAAGGGCCTTGTGAAGCTTGACTGAAAATTTCTGACGCACTTCATAACACGAATCCTTTAAGAAAAGTGGGATGAACATTCCAAGACATTGGTGAAAAAAATCAAACAAAATAGTAGAATCGTTAAGGGTATTTTCACTAAAAACACCTAGAAAGTTTTTTGGCTCTCAGAGAAGAACAACCGGCAAAGGAAATCATTGGGTATTTTCCAAAGCTTCCCCCCTAGTCTTGTGATAATCTGTCTACTAAGAAAAGCTTCATCAGACAAGGTAATCAATGTCCATTCTAGAAGAATTTCCTATTGTTTTAAGCTTTGGCTAATAAAGGGAACAGCGTCTTTCTCTGCGTTTAACATACCTAGTTGGTATGATGCCGGTTATATAGGCATTCAGATGCCACAGTTATTTATGTGTCATGAAGCTGTAAATGACGTCAACCAAAGAGAGGGGAAGGTAAGGCGACATGAGAGTATGTAAGCATATAAATATATCTACAAAAAGCCTTAGCAGTCATAGCATTACAAAGACATAGCGTTAGGCTGTATTCTGCGTGTAGTGTAACATACTGGAAATTTTACTGGAAACATACAGGAATCTTTGAAGGAAAATGCTTATGAATTGAGCGCAAGTTTTCCTTAAGTAATTTCTAGACAAGCACAGTGTGTTCAATATACCTGAACCGTCCAGGCAATCCGTAAGAACTGTTTAACAGAAATGACGTCAGCATAATGGACATTTTCAACAAGTTTTAAGATGCCATTGGCAGCAGCCAGCCGCATTCTCGACTTGTCTTTGTTTCTATTGGAAAATCATACGAACCATATCAATAGTTTGAAAAGCAGACAGCTCCACAAGTTCTTGCTATCTGGCTACAGGTCAATTCGACTTTTATAGTTACAAAGCCTATAGTATATAATTTCATAGACATATGACGTCATTGTAATGTCATTTCGGGGAGATTTTGGGTGTTTAACAAATCATCTATTTGGTACCATTATATTTTGCATCACATTTGTTATAAAGGGAAATTGGTATTGCTTTCTATTAAGAGACTTGCAAAAATACAGCATGAATGTTTTCGCATCCGGTTAAACTGATCTTCTGACGAAGAAACAAGGAAGTAACAAAATACTTCATCGGCCATTTTGAATCATTATCAATGTTAGATGGGTTAAGCTGGTTGGTTATAATAATTCTTTTTCAAAACTTAACCTGAGGAATTATAACTAAATCACTGAGGTAATTTTTTAAAAAATTCATCGAAATTGGATAACCAGGATGTGAACTTCACAAAGTTTGTAAGATCAACCTCAAAGTTTTGAAAAATGGATTTATAAGGTTCATTAAACTTTCAGGAAATGTCAGCAATCACCGGAAATAAAACATTTAGCAGTTTATTAATCAAGTGATACGAGTTGAAAATTTCTTTATCGCCAAATAAAAGGGTTTACCCAAACATTATGAAAAGATCTCAAATAAACTTTGCTGATTGCAAGAGCTAAGTCTTAAGGATATGGAATAGTAGCTAAAATGAATTTTTCCCTTATCAATGAGATTTTCATTAACTTGTTCCTAAAAGAATCCTTACTGTTCTTAATTTTACTATTAACTGTTTTAAATGTCATGCGAAAAGGATACCAACCTGAGCAGTCCTTGTTCATTGACGTCACCATCATTCTCGAGTATGGTGTTCAGCAGTCGAAAAACAGGAGTGGCTGCCTTGGAAAAGTTTGACTGAAGACCAAGAAGCCATTTCACCATTAGCTTAATACCTTGAATCTACAAAAGCAAACAAATGTTTTTATGCTACTGCCTATCAATTATAAACATAGTAAATACATAATGAATCAGAGAAAAAACTCTAAACCAACTCTTTAACAATAAACAAAAGACTTTAGGATCATTACCCACGGATGTCCGACATTACCCAAAGGAAGTGATCAGCACCGATTTCAGAAAAACAACAAAAGTATTGTGATACAAAAATAATCATCAATTGTCATCAATCAAAGGAAAAGAATTTATCGAAATGTTATATGTCAAATTGCAGGTTACAGTCGGTTAAATGTAAAAACTATCATCGAATGTTAACTCTAAAGAAACCAAGAAAAATAATCTTTAACTTTGCCTGAAAAAACAATCACGCCTCACGTAAGATGACAGTTAATTGCCTTGTCTCGTGAAAGTCGACTTTGAGGTCTACGTTATCGTAGTCTCTTGACAAAGTGTGATTGCATCTTCTCATAATTGTCGGAGTCATTTAGTTAAGATCTAATAAACTTGAAGACGTTGATGCATTACATAGGAGTGATATTTTCAAAATTTAACAGCTGAAGTATAGAGTTGTGTTACGATAAAAAATAGCTTCAAAACTTCATATTTCCATGAGTTGAAAATTTCATGCTCAATTTAAAATAACATAACTTGATATTGAGATCATTAGGGGCCACGTACACAAATCGTTCCTTTCAGTCTTTAGAAGAAAATCTATGTCAAAAATTCACTAGACGAAGTAAACACGCCGCTACTTGTGTTGTAGATTGACGATATCTGCCACAAATCTGAAGAGCTCCATGAAAATTTAAATGAGGTTAAGCAATATTAATATTTTATAATACAAGAAATCAACTGATACCTTAAGTTGAGTCTCATTTGAAATTTCTTCTTCATCTCCCCATTCGTCGTCACTTTCTTGTGAACTGGTGGCACTTTCCTAAACCCAAACAAACTTTCAGGTAAATTACACTAAATAAAGATAAAAGGTTTTGGAATCAAACTAGAATCAATTAAGATCTAAAGCAAAAAATTATTAGCAGAACGATTTGATAATCAGATTTAAACTTTTACACACCTTTTACACACCAAAATGCGAAGTTAAAATTTTATAGTCTCTTTTGGACAAAAAATGCAAAGAAAAGAAGGAAGGAGAAAAGCTCACCGTTGCAACTTAAAACACTTTGCAAAGGTTTTGTAGAGATGTGACTTTAGCCTAGCCAGGGGAATACTTTCTTTGCTAGCTCAAGAAATTAGAGCATTTTCTTGCACAGCACAATAGAACCAAAAGAAAATCTTGAGATTCACTTATTTCTTAAAACACTTTCCCTTATTTTGGCATTTTAAAGTATTATATAATTCTTTGAAGAAAGAAATTGTCGGCAAAATTGAGCTTGAATGAACTTTTAATAGGGACAAATTCGAGTCTCAATTATAAAATGTCCTAAGTAATAATCTTGTTTCATTTGATACACAATGTAATACTTAATGGCAGATTTTTTTAAGTGAAGGAAACTAATCTTGAAAACAAAACATAACTCATATTTTATATTACTATTTCTATCATTTTTTATTCAATTATATACAGTTGGCTTTTGACAACCGCGTATAAAATACCTAATTCAGACGAACTATCAAGAAAATATTTACAACAATCTTTGCACGTGCATTTTTCACCCTTCCAATCTTTATCAGTTTTTTAAGCCTGCAAGAGAGGGTGAGCTTTTCAGGGTGTCCGGTGGGCTATTCCAGAGGGTGCTACCTCTAAAGGTCAATGAGTCGGTTCCATAGGTTGTAGTTGTCGCTCGTGGTAGCATTAATAGTGAGCCTGTGTGAGCTCCTTTTGCTGAAAAATATTCTACAAAAAAAAAGAATTTTCGCACGACAGGCCTTGTAATGGCACTTCAAGGTTCGCCGTTTATAAAAAGTACCAATTAAAAGTTATACTTAAACTTCAAACAACTAGCTGCATGGAAATTTGAAGGATCGTATTAAAAAGAAGAAGATATGTTGAGCTCATACCCTATCCACGATGATGAGGTCCTTTACAACGAACTGGATAATAACTTCCTTGTGCTTGCTTTCGAAAATGTTCGGAGCCAAAGTGGCGACTTCACCGAGAGAGGCCAATGTGGTCATAAGGTTTTCTGCATTATAATCCAAGACCTTTAGTAAAGCCTAAATTGAAAGAAAAAAACAAAACGATGATTGATATTCTTTACTTGTTTTTTTAAATACTACGTTGTACATACACTCTTTAATAAGAACCAGTAAATGGCTGGATTGTCCTTAATTTGTCCTTGAACTGTTGCTAGCTAGTGCGATGTAAGGGTGTTTCCAGGCCTCATTTGCTAACAAAATGAGTGAGACATCCTTTGTTTGCCGACAAGTTTGAAAATTCAGCGAAAAAATACCACTAAATAGCAAAAAATCTCGTTTTTGATATTAAAAATATAGTCCAAATTACATTTTACAGTAGCTTAGCCTCAGTTTGTTCTAAATTTCTTCTTAACTTTTGACCAATTTTTAAGCTTGTGTTCTTTTATAATTGTTCTCTAACTTCTTAGACTGAACTTAAATTCACTAGTTCTTGCAGTGTACATTCTTGTCAGGTTTGTCATTATTAATATAATAAACTTATAGTGGCAAGCTGTATTCAAGTTTTTCGTAATTCACTTTTTAATGTTGAAAAAAATTGTTCATCTGCTTGCAAGGAGAATAAAATATGAGAGGAAAATTTCTGGCCGAAAGAAAAACTACTCCCGTGCGGGGAATCGAACCCCGGCCGCGGCGGTGAGAGCGCCGAATCCTAACCACTAGACCACACGGGAGATGTTTGAGTACTGGGGTGGAAATGATTACATGGATAACATCAATTGTGTATCTTACCTAACTGGTTCTTTTCAAGCTTTATTTACACAATTAACTATGATTATAATGCTCTCATCAAAGAAAATTGCCTTAAAAGAAAGATATTTCTTGAAAAAGCCTAAATTATACAACCTGGGCAGGTGGTGCTGAGATTTGCACCCCATCCTCCTCACGTTGAATATTGCTATGTCTTGCTATCAAAGACATACTGAAAAACTTTGGAGGAATCGGTGGTAGATATTAGTTGACATTATTGTGCTGAACAATGCACAAACCAATATTTGGAAAAATTCCGACGATTTTCACTGTTCGCTAAAAATTATCATCTTATAGCTTGAATTGGAAATTCAAGAAGACGTTAACTTTCCAGATAAATTCACAAAAGCTATTCTCGGTAAAATTATTTCTAGGCGAACCGTCATTTTCCTTGATCCTGTTGTAGGACAACCATATTGTTTGCATAAAATCATTCCAGGACAAAGTCATAAATTCTTTTCGGGCAGGCACATCAGCATAGCGGTCAAATCTTTGATTGGCTGAGAGCTCTGTTCGCTGCCATGTTCTAAGCCAATCAGCACACAGGATTTTCACAACAAAACCGCCTCGCAGCTAGAATTAGGCCCATTTTCGCCATTTCAGCGTGTTTTTACCACATTGTCTACAAAAAACATTGCATGCCTCTACAAAGCGAATTTTCACTTTATATTTTGTCCAGTTCATCATCATGCGTTGCTTTTTAACCTATATTGGCGCCACTGTTCGATCGCAAAGAATAATATAAAAAAACACCTCGCAAATGATCGGTAAATTTCGTGTCGAGATTCAGGTTAATTAGGTTTTTACCTCTCCCCACCCAAAACGCTATAGACATTTCACATTTAGACAAAATCAATTATATACTTACCTTAAATATAGGAATGGTTCATAATCCCGTCAAAGATGCACTCACTGTTCAGCCTTAGATTCGGCGGGGATCGCCAATTTAATCATCACAACGGTACGAAGGCTCTCATATTCACCCTCGAAATCAATAAATGTATCTTTGTCCTCTGGAATCAAAATCTGCTTCATAAAAGTGAAAAATTTTCAGCAACAGCCCAAAGTAATTTCAATCATGATTGTCCAGACAATTGACCATTATTACTAATTTTATGTGATGAAAATGGCGAATACACTCACGCGGTAAGACTGGGATCTAATAAAATTTGAAAACGGCGGGAAAATTTCAAGGATGCGTTTTCGTCAATTTTTCTAAATTGATTTTCCCGCCGTTTTCAAATTTTATTAGATCCCAGTCTTACCGCGTGAGTGTATTCGCCATTTTCATCACATAAAATTAGTAATAATGGTCAATTGTCTGGACAATCATGATTGAAATTACTTTGGGTTGTTGCTGAAAATTTTTCACTTTTATGAAGCAGATTTTGATTCCAGAGGACAAAGATACATTTATTGATTTCGAGGGTGAATATGAGAGCCTTCGTACCGTTGTGATGATTAAATTGGCGATCCCCGCCGAATCTAAGGCTGAACAGTGAGTGCATCTTTGACGGGATTATGAACCATTCCTATATTTAAGGTAAGTATATAATTGATTTTGTCTAAATGTGAAATGTCTATAGCGTTTTGGGTGGGGAGAGGTAAAAACCTAATTAACCTGAATCTCGACACGAAATTTACCGATCATTTGCGAGGTGTTTTTTTATATTATTCTTTGCGATCGAACAGTGGCGCCAATATAGGTTAAATAGCAACGCATGATGATGAACTGGACAAAATATAAAGTGGAAATTCGCTTTGTAGAGGCATGCAATGTTTTTTGTAGACAATGTGGTAAAAACACGCTGAAATGGCGAAAATGGGCCTAATTCTAGCTGCGAGGCGGTTTTGTTGTGAAAATCCTGTGTGCTGATTGGCTTAGAACATGGCAGCGAACAGAGCTCTCAGCCAATCAAAGATTTGACCGCTATGCTAGGCACATCTACGTGCTTCTTCCCCAAGGTACGTTCCCGGGCTTCAATGACGGGACAAATAAATTTGCAGCAAGAAGTTCCTTTGCTTCAAAATCATCGTTTTTGACTCATAACAACTTATCAAAATGTTTTATTCTACTGTCACAGCACGCGGTAATAACCCAAACATAATGGCTATCTTGAGAACATAGAGTGTGGAATGTTGGAATTCTGGAATGTGTTTTCTAAAAACTTTATAAAAACATGCTAACAAACAGGGGCGGATCCAGAGTAAATTTGTAAGCGAGGTAGTTGGTAGTGGGGGCACTGAAAAATCATCAGAAATTGATGACGAGTTTACACTGTATACAGCAATTTCAGACCCTAACTACTGACAGAAGGCTCTCTTTTCAGTTTTGTAAGAACATTTTCTGAGAGATAATTGACTGTAAGATAATTGACACTAATTTAGAAATAATTCTTCTATATTCTGAGGTAATCCTTGAAGTAAATTAACCTATGAGTCCCAGAAACTTTTTCACGTGATTCTCATTCTTCAAAAGGGGCGCACAATTTCCAAAAAGGGGCGCCAGACTTGCTTCAACTCTGTGAGGGAGGGGCAACTGCCCCTAGATGCCCCCTTAGATCCGCCATTGCTAACAAAGGCATTTAACTTGGGTTCATTAATACGAGAACTTATCATATAGGAAGGTACTACCATGCAAAGGTTTAATGCTTACTTGTGTATAATTCTAACTTGTTTCTCTTCTATGTATTTGTTCTGTTATGTTTATATTATTGAACTTCGTTTTATATTGTTTATACTTTTAAAATTAAGATTAATGTGAATTTGCAACATATGTATGTATGTGTAAGAATGAAGAACCGCAGGATAGGCTGTCCACCGGATTCTGTGAATCTTGCAATGAGTATTAATACGAAAGATATTCAGGAACAAAGCAATACGACGACAAGAATCCAATGTCACGAGATACAATTTTCAAAATAAATTAAATTTTAGGAATACTAATATTTCGCCCCGGCATACAGGGCTTCATTAGAGTAAATGAAACGAACGAGTGATATTAATATTCCTTAAATTTAATTTATTTTGAAAATTTTATCTCGTTACATTGGATTCTTGTTGTCTTATGCATGTATTCAATGGAATTTAAAATAAAAAACTGAACTGAACTGAATGCTTACGGATAGAAGTCGATCCATCACCACAGATGAATCCTTCAGCGTCTTTGAAAGGCAACGAATAGAATAAATGGCTTGTTTCCGTGTTCCAGAGACAGCGAGTTTGCTTAGCACAGGTTGAAAGCATCTGAAAAGTGGGATACATTTTTTAAGAGTGAAATGACCCCCATTGAAATTTTTTATGGTGTGTATTAACCGCCAAATTTAATGATTGTAGAATTTCATCAAAGTTGTAGCTTTTTATCAAAGAACGTTCACAGTTGCACTAAGGCTTGTCAAACTTTCAACTAAAACAGAGATTCTAAGAAACATTTCACTAGGTTTTTTACACAACTCCCAAGTTTTCAAATTTTCAATAAATGCATAAAGAAGCACGACTTTCAGATTTTCTCTGATGACCTCGAGTTGAAACTGCCTCGTTACAGATACTTGTTCATCTCTGCCTATCAATATGGCCGATTATCCAGTAACCAGTAGCCGTCCTGGAGACCCACCCCTCAAAAGAGACTGTTCCAAGAAAAACATAATCCGATGGGACGCTCATCAAAATGTTAAAAGAGGTATTTGGACCACCTGGTTAAATAAAATAGCCCTGAAAAATCATTCAGTACCAGGATGCTACATTTTGGCATACATTTTGTGTACTTATTCATGATAAATTGAAAAACTCGTCGTCAAACTATAATGATAAATATATGCAAATATCCTTTTTCAGAAAGCTGCGAATCTTCCATAAGCCCTACACGTAAGCAAAATGTTCAGAATGAGACCATAGATTATCTGAAATCGACAATTTATAACTCACGAGCAGAGGCTTCGGTCGAACGACTCAAGATCATCGCCAACATTGAACAATATTTTTACACCAGTCTCCACTGCAAGAAAAAAGATTCTTTGCAGAGATCAAATAGGATAATTAGATGATAATGAATGCAAAATGGAACCAGTTCTATAAAAAGTTTAACCATTATAATGTATTGCATACAATCTTTATAGTTCCATTAACATCAGAATAATACCCAGACATAATTATTAGCAGTCATCTACAGGCGAGGACGGGTTTGATTGTGATCGCAGACATTGATACAAAAAATGGATGATTTAATTATATACTGAAATGATTCGCAAACATGACAAAATTTTGAAATATATGGTATTCAAGGATATAAAATTTAGACCTTATAACGCTCTAAAGACTTAACTATAGTGTTGCTGACCAATTCTTAAACAACTTTTAACATTTTCAGTGACTCGAGAAAATGTTTTAATGTAAATGTGTTGTTCAGGGTTCGTTTAGCACGTTTTCCATAACACACCATCTAGCAATAATCAGTCCAAGAAAACTTTGTTTTTGAGAGCAAATGAACTAATCAAATATTGAGCTGTACTGTTATGGCTGGCCGTTTAAACGTTGAATGAAAATGTTGAAGCGTTTTAAAACGTCAAACTGAACATCAATGAACAACATTGAAAGCTGATTCCATTGTGTAGGAGCTTTGCTATGCCTCTTGGAATCATAACTCATGTGAAGCAGCAAACATGAGTGCAGTGTAAGCCTTCACCTTGGCGTAGCTTGTATAAAACAGAACATCCACTAACCTACAAAATCATCTTGGTGCTTGATCAGCTGCAATAATTCTTCGAAGCATTCCTTCGTCTTGAAGATCACTGGCATCACAGTTGATAGCGACTGTCAAACGATTTCATATGAAAATAAATCATAACTTACATAATGTATTCGAAACAGTATATACATGCTATTAAAAAAAACACAATTTACGAACAATATGTACAATGAGTAAAGCACGTAATGACTTAAATGAGAAAATGATAACTGGAAGGAGCCTGAAACAGTTTGGTTATATACGACTTGTGGAGAAAGAATATCAAACATTAAGCAAAAACATCTACTGTTGTAGTAGCCTAGCAATACCAGTTTAAAGGGACAAGCATTAAAGTATTTGGACCTTCCAATAGTATCGCCAGCTACCTTCCCATAGCCAGTTTCAAATCAAAAGAAGTAAAATGCATTGAGTTGTATGAAGAAAGTAGCTACATCCCCCAAAAAATAAAAGAAATTCTAAAACTTAAACAATTTTCACCTGCAAAAGCAAGAGACCACGCTTTGCTCTCTTGCTCAAAACTATTTCATCACCACACATTTCATCGTCATTTTCTTCATCATCGTTATCATCCATTCCTTCGACAGATTTCTTCACGGATTGAAACAAAGCCTTGATGCTATGAGCATCAATCAGCATAGGGGAGCTACGGTCCAGTAACGCCTTCACGGTTTCTATAATTGGATTCTTGGCAGAGATTTTCATTACAATTTCTGACTGTTGGTGAAAAGAACAAAATATCAAAAAGAGTAGAACAGTAAATCAGCCATTAAACAAGGTCAAGAGAAACTGTTAATGCTAGAAGCAGTGACTGCGATCATTGAGATAAATGGAGACCAATCTTTGAACCAAAATTTCATTCTTTATGAGAACTATTAACAATGAAATTATGCTGTATCAAAAACTCTCATTTCAAAATCTCAAAATACCAATTTATAACATTTATCACTGTTCAAATTTTCAAACGTTTTGCGTTATGCTTTAAAATTTTAAGTTAATGATTTCTGCTAGTGTTAAGATATTAATGCAGTGACATTTAGACAATAAAGAAACAGATTACAGAAGGTTACAAAAAAGTGAAGATATTTCAAATGTTCTGTAGCACAACCAGGAGTTGGGTTGGAGCTCCATATAACTAAATACAGTAGCACAAACACTGCATGAATTGGCTTATACATTTAAAAAGACAAGACACGTTTTTCCACTATGTCATATTGTAAGACACCAAATCAATGCAATTTCAGGGATAAAAAGAGTCCAGTTTCTAAAAAAGAACACGAAAACAAGATGAGAAACTGCTAGTCAGCTGCGTGACTGCCATGTTTTCTGACTCAGTAGAATTCGCAGAATAATAATGATTAACAACCTTGAAGAAATCTTACCACTGCCTTTTTTATCCTATCGCAGCCTTGCTGAACATCAGTGGACGTTTTGAGTAAATTAAAAAGCGAGTTATCTTTAAACATCATCACAAACTTCTTCAGATTTTCTTGTGCCTTGAAAGGTTCAGGTAAGGAGCGAGCCAAAATGAGTATCTTTGTAAACATTAACTTTTCTTTTCCATTTTCATCATTTTCATGGAGTTCAAGCAGCTTTCTGAATTCACAGTTCATCGAAGATCGATGTTTGAGCAAGAAATCGAACGCTTTTAGAGCATAATCCTCTAATGATGAATAAAGGTTCAATAAAACATCCATCCTTTCTTTGGTTTCGAGGCTGACTGGAACGAGGCAGCCGTGAACAATCCTTTCTACGCACAACCTACAAGTTGAGAGCGTAGAAAGTAAATATCTTGGCGAAAAAACTGATATATATCTAACTATAAATCGTCCAACAAGGCAACAAACTGTTGTATCTAAAAATTCACGACGTAAACACGAAATCAAATCGCATTTCTTGATCAAGAGCTAGTAACATAGATTGGATAAAAAACGAAGAAAATTTCACAGACAGCTACAAAAATTATGACTTCCTTCTGCTGTTACTGGCAGTGTTAGGAAAAGGCTAAATCACAAAATCTCTGTGCTGTTTTCCCTCTGCATAGTCCTGTCGTACTGCTAATGTATAGATAGCTCGTAATAACAGAGGCATGTTATGAATACAGCGCGACATAACTAGGATTTAACACTCTTAATAACCAAACGTTAGATGTGACTGGTACATATAAACTGAGCCATTGTCGTCACAATCTGACGAGCTGAGTATTTATTATGTTTACAAAATTATCCTGTCTTTGGAAGTTCCTGTCTTATTAACTGATTCATACACACCGTCCATATTATATCGTATCGTAAAGAATACATACACATCGTATTATACATATCGTGCAATAATGATGATAATGTGACTGTTTGAAAAATGAAATGTAATTCGTACTTGTCTTCTATTGAATTTTGGTAGTATAAATGCAAAATTTTGTCCGGAACCCAAGAAACCCTCTTGATTGCATCCGGATCTGGCGTTTCACTGGCAAAAGAAAGTGTTGTTATAACTCTCTATTTTCAAACTAGCATTGATAATAAGATTTCTAGCCATGGATATTACAACAACACGTTTCGGGCATATTTTTAACCGTGAAGTTACATGTCCGGTACAAGTTATATCGTAGTATTTATAATTAAACATTATGTGTAATTGTTGTCTTCGTGCAAACTCGAAGATTTATAGCCGCACGTACAAACAACGGATATATCAAGCATTTAAAGTGCCTATGGATAATCCTGTCTCACAAACAGGTACAACAATTCTTATAAATTTAAGTTCATAATAGATGCACTATGCCGAACTAATACAAAGAAATATTGAAGAAATCATTTTTAGGTTTAACGACTAGAAAAGCTGACTAGGAAAGATTATAGCCGACTTATGGCAAGGTTTTAACCAACTTGCTGATAGTTTTAGGCCTATATTCAAATGCGAGTAGCAGGGGCCCCATCTAATCGGGGGATGGGATGGATGGAAGCAAACAATTGATGATTATCAACGAAAATAATATGAATTGAGCTAAAAAGAATTCAAATATTTGTCACTGCCACTGAAACTAATAACATTTAAATAGCTGTTAAAAACATGATTAATAACAAAGTAATAATACTTTATTACTTAGACAAAGTAATAAAACATCTTTGGCTTATGAATCACAACAACAAAAGACAAACCTGATTGTTATTCCTTTATAAAGTTTGGCAGTGCAAGTCAAGGCTGCTCTTCTCACAGGCCACTGAAACAAACATCATACATCTCTGTTATGTTTTTATGTTGGAACTAAGATTCGATTTATTCACAGCGTAAAAATATTGGACGCTTACGATTTGTAAATAAATTCCTTACCTATCGTAGTATTGCAAAATAACTTTCTACTATAAAATACACTGTTGCTCAATTGGATTGATTCTTTTGCGGCTCTTATAAAAGAACTTTTTGCAAATTTCCTAGAAGCTTTCTACTTCCCCTTTTTCAATGTTTTATACGAATAAATTATCATTTTCTACAAATTCCACAAAAAAGCAGTAATCAAGTTTTGGTATCACTTTTCAAAGTTCACGCGTACATATATTAATTCACATGGGCCTAATTCAATAAATATGGAAATCCATTTCCATGCAGAAGCATTTGCCTCTAAAACTTCCTGGCGGGTGAACATTTCCAAACGTGAACATGTAAAATAGGAACAGGTAAATTTCCATTCCAACTAAAGATCTGCATGAAAAATATTATCTTCTCACGTTTACAGATAAAGAATGCAAAATATCTCGTTAGAGAAAATGTACAAAAATACTTGATGTCTACCTTTTTATCCCGCATCCGTTCTTTTACAGCAGACATCAGCTAAAATAATCATAGAAATGATGAAAACATAAACAGACAACAGAAATAAAAATTGAAACAGTGATAGAAACTGGTTTAAGATTATTACCTGACTGATTAATTATGCTGGGACATGTATAAAAAATTTTACAGTGAATCCAACTTGAAAGTCTCAAATGTACTAAAAGGGACAATTCACATAACGAACTGTGATTTACACCAACAGAATGATTTCAATGCTTCTGGCTATGAAGACAAGGCGTACGTTTTGTTTTCGTTTAGACTCCTATCTGCAGCTCTGCAGCAAGACATTTGTATATATGTTCGTCGACCAAGACATTGAGGGCTTGACACTGGCTGATAATGGTTCGTTCAAGAATAGATGCATGTAATAAGGCTTATTCATCCAATCGATGCTTTCGTACAAAGGGTAGGAAACTAAATAGGAAGTTTTGGTAAAACGCTATGTCACACAAACTCTGATTGAATTCAGTTTAAAGTCTTACTTTCTCGGGAACGGAGTCAATTCGTTCTGCTGCTGCTTCACAAACAGAAATGACAGCCTGTAGCCGCACTTTTTCTTCAGTGTCGTGAAATCGCTCCAGAATACGATCTGGATATGGAAATAAAAAAGGAAATAAATGAATATACTCAAATTTTTCGCTGAAAAGTGCAGTTAGTCATGACTTACTATTTCAAATCGACTTAAAACAACTCACCTGCAACGTCATTCATCAAGTCAGGTTTAGATACAAGAAGCTGCTTTCCACTTTGTAAACATTCAACACGAACATCAGTGCTGATATCTATAAATCTGCAAAAACCAAATTATTCTTACATGAAGAAGCCACCGAAGAATTTGATACCCAATATTAATACATTATAATAATAATATTAATAATACATTAAAACTTATATAGTGCAAAACCAAATAAAAAGCTTATCCATCTTTGGCGCTTTGCAATAAAAATGTCCAAAGCCCTAGAGTATCTAAAACATCTAAAACTTTATTTGCATCTACTTGAGATTTCAATTGGTTATGAAATTTAAGACTCCAGATCTTAAATGGATATGTGAATAAGTAATTATATTCTGCCACAACTCAGCAAGAAAACGATTACACATAAAAAATAAGGATAATGTATAACTTTCTCAAGATTTAGCGTCCATTAAAAAGCCTTTCTCGGGAGATCATCTGAAATCTTAACAGATTAATCTTGGCTCACGGTCTCACGAAACCTTAAATAATTGAAGTAAAACAATAGTTTTCCTTTAAAGTTGAGGCGTCTGATACATATGAAATTGCTAGCCACAAAACGTGTGTGGCTACTTCTATAATCCCAGACGGAAGGTATTGGGATATCTCTGGATTCTGATAATTCTGATATTTGCCATACAGAAATGTTATACAGTATAAGTTTAGGGGTTTGTCTCGACAGTTGAATTCAAGATATCAAGTCAAGTGATGAAGCCATCAAAAGGAGCTTTCTTGCAAAGCTTTGAGGATAAAATATAAACTCGTTTTTAACTTTAGCTGACATTCAACAAAACACCAGACAGCTCGAAATACCGAGAACAATGATATTGTCTTAATAGTTTCTTTCTATGACAGGAATTTTAAAGAAGCGACCCCCGGGCACAGACAATGTCTCTTACTTAAACAGGGGCAGTTCTATTAAATGAGCTTTGACAAAACGGGCGATTCCTTGACTATGATCAATTAAAGGGCACTTTTATTATGAAGAAGGAAAATATTCATATGACGAAGGAGTCAATACATTATCATTAGGAATATCTCATGTATCATATCTTAAAATTAAAAAACCATTGAAATAAAAGAACATTTTCCAAACAGTACCTGTCGAGAAAACTTTTCCATAGAGGTTTGTTCATATTTGAAAGGTCTGAATCTTCTTCAGAAAACATTGTTCCTAAAACTTTGACGACTTCAAGGCGCTCATCTTCTTCGACGCTCTAGAAAAAATGTAAAGGCATTTTAAAATGTATTGAGTCTATGAAAGCTGTAAAAAAGACCATAATTCACAGAGCAGCTCAATTCAAACTTCATTGTGCCACATCTGTCTAAAGTTATGCTTCCAGGATTGCCCATACTTTAAAGGGATTTTTGACAAATCAGTGTCTTCTAACACCTCGTGTGTTTAGAGAATCATACTAGCATCAGATAAAGAATCAGATACCTAATAATTAATTTTTCTTGAATACAATGAAGTAAAAATATTACTGCCGCTACACTTGGAGAAGCCTTGGAAATTTCCAAAGAGCCATTTTTAGCAAAAAAACCCCATTGGATTCTCTTTTGAAAACAAAGCCCATTTCCAAACTCCTCCATGTAGAAATTTAAAGTACTGGATATTAGATTAGGAGAAGAGTGTATTTACAAAAGATATAGAGAGCAAAAACAAACCTTCAGTTTGAATTCAAGTTGTGGTAAGATTGAAAGGAGAATTGTTTTGCTGATTCTGTTCAGCTCCAAAATAAGGTCGTACATATGCTTGTTCATGTCACTTTCTGTTTCTTTTCCAAGGACTAGAGCATCATTGAAAAACTAAAATTAAAAGCAAACAGAGGTTAGCTTCATGAAAAAGTATTTAACTTCTATATGGTTCAAGGTCGATCAAGGTCATTAAAGTTGATTTATAAAGTATATTGAGATACAAAGCTCACCACTTGAAGATAAGGTTCCAATGAAGTACTGCATCTTTCAATCAAATTTGATGCCAGTTTGTAAGAGGAAGGCCTTGATGACTGTGGAATTAAAATAGCAATAATGAAAAATTGCAAGCAATCATGTTATTTTTTAAACTATCTTATCTTACATATCATTGATTAAACCATTTTAAAAAAAAATTCTCAGTATTCTGACCTCGTATTAGCATTGTAAAAAGACATTTAGATACGAAGAATAGACAAATTCTGTAACACTGTAGAGTTGTGATTAGCAAATGGATGGGGCTGAGTGACTTTTTCATGAAAGAAGAATGCTTTAAACTGGAAAGGGTTAATTTTTAAAAATTGTTCCAAAAGATTCAACAGGCTGAGGTGCTTCAGGTATTGTTGCTTTTTTGAGTGCTGCAACTTATTTCAAACATTTACAAACAAATCAATGAATTAACATCTACCTTCACTGGGTTCACCAAGTTGATCAAAATCACATCCAGTATATCTTGAGATAATGATTCACTGTCTTGAATGACAGATGACATTACATCCAGCATAAAGCCTTTAACTCTCGCATTTTGCTTTTCACTGAAAATAATACAACTTGGACATCAAATTGCTTCATGTGTGGCTTCACAAAAACTTTGCAAATTTTACATAATAAAAAAGAAACCAACAGTTATTCTCCTACTTTTTTGTGGCCTCTAAAAAATTTTCACTGAGAAGTAAAAAATGTAATATTTAAAATCAATTGTCAGACTCAAATCAGCTGAGATATTCCTGTACAAGATGAACTAGTTTATAATTAAACAAATGAAATCAAAGATAATATAGGCTTTATCATAGCTTGAACACAAAGATAATATAAGCTTTATCAATCTATTGTATTATCTGCTAAAACTTGCAATAGAATAGGAAATGTGTATGCATGAAAGAAACAACATATAGCATGATCAATACTACAAATAATTAAAATAAGAAACATATAAACTAGGCATTTACAAAAACGCCACATTTAACCTGCAAAACCTAACAAAACTTTTCCATATTCCAAAAATGTTAAATACTAGATAATTAGAAGGTGTTTGCTTTTGATTTGCATGAAAAATAATGGCATTTAGACTATTTAAACATGAACTCAAATGAAGCCTTGTATGCTGTTACCAAAGAGTTGTTTTACTTTTAAAGTCAATGTACTTAAACAAAAGAAGCTTAAACCATCTATCAATCAAAATTAGCCAACCAATGAATGTGTGAGTGGAATCACACTCACTGGTTGACTACTTTTAATTTATTTTGAAATTCTTTTTTACAAAATTTTGGATTGTTATTTGTTCTTTTGCTCTGTTTCTGCTTATCACTTTTTATCTATTTAAGGCATAATGGGATTTTGCATGCCTGTTTCAAAATTATATGGGATGTATGTAATCAGACTTTTATGTTTATTACACGTCATCACAGAACAAAGCAACTGCATTCACATTTCCCTTACTCTGTTTTTGCAATTTTGAAGGAAAATATCTTACAACATAAAATTGAAATAATTCAAATCAACATGTCATTTAAAAAATGCACAAATTCTATTTTGATATCATACTTACTTCACAATTTTGAGAAATGTTTTAAAGAGGCGAACAACCAGGTCTTGAGCATCCATTTCACAACATACATTGAAGGTTTTTACAATTGCCAGACTCTGTAAAAATCATTTCATAAGGTTTTTTTATAAATTTTCCTGATGCTTCAATTTGCTGCATATACATTACTTTTCTGGTTAAAATGCATTAGTGATCCAGAATAAATAAAAAATAACATAATTTGACTTGTTATATCAATAGCATCATAATTTCAGCATTTCAGAACAGGTCTGGATTTAATTATTTAGATTATTGTTTGTCTGACTGCTCAAAAGAAGCACATATCAAAACATTGATGGAATCTATGTAAAAGTATGTAAGTGAATACCTCAAGGAGATAATATGCCTTTTTGAAGAGTGCACTTTCTGGGTTTTCAATTATCTTTAGCTGGTTAAGGATAAGGTCAAAAATCACCTAGAAGAAAGGTAAACTGAATCACCTTGAAATTTCCTGCTGGCAGAAGAAACAAACAAGAGCAAAAAAATTGCACAAGGTCCTGATAGACAACTCATTACAACAGAAATGATAATACATTTGAAACTGTTGGAATAAATATATACCTTAAAATTTCTAAATTGATTAGAAAAATGGACAATAATTTGAAATGAAATAAGTTTCTATTTCACAAATCAGAAAGTTTTTTCTTGCCAATTTAAAGATGCATCTATGGCAATTTCAGGTTTAAAGGTTCTCTATTCTTTCCATTAAGCAGAGAAAAGCTCAAAAAGTCTCAATTTTTTACCAATTCAATATAAATAACATAAAATATTTCTAAGCCTCAAAACACAAGCTGCTTAATCAAAGCAAAGCTATATTAAGTACAAAAAATTTCAGCACTAAAAATTTCAGTGGAAAAAATTTTGGACATCTTTTTGAAAATTCGTGAATGTGGAGGGGGAAAGGGAAGAAAATTAAGATGAGCTGGCTTTCTCACTGGTTGATGAAAAAGGAAAATCAGAAACTGAAAATTGATATGTACAGGTTGCAAAGGAATACTAGAAAATATCAAGGAACAATTGTTTTGTTATTTTGAAAGTCCATAAGTGGAAAACAAGATTTTTCTAGCATTTAAAAACTTTGATAAGAAAAAGTTTCAGTTTAAAAAAATTTGTTGGGATGAATCTTCAGTTGCCTTAATTCACCAAAAATAAATCTCACTGAAATTTTTTGTACTCTATGTATCTGAAGATTCCTTAATTCTTAGGGTTGGCTTTTCTGGGGATTCACAGCATCTTAGCAAAAGGATCACTTGCTATCAGCATTGTCAATTGCCATATACCATAGATTAAATTGAGAGTTGTTTCCCATCGTGTAGACCTCTTAGTATTATTAACTTTTTAAATACCTTGAGCTGCTCATAATTATATGGTGGTTCAGGCACATATATTCGAAGAATATCTGCATAGCAGCAGGCAAGGCAAACTCTGACGTCTTTATCTTTGTGATTGACTAAAAATGAAGCCACAAGAACTGCTGCTAACTCATCATAGTTTTCTACGTTCTCCTCTTGATCGACATTGGCAAGCTCTTCCATGATAGACTATTAAAAGAAAAGAAAAATTAAGAACAACATATTTAAGAAATGTAAAGGCATTCATCTATGGATTTGCCAACATTTGTCAAATTTTTGACTTTGCTAATCAAAACTATCAAACCATTTTTAAACTATCAAAACTAACTCATAGTTTATGTTATTCAAAAAAGATAGCTGAAAAAGGTTTAATTGCATCTCTACACAGCATGGATAAGTATGCATGCATTTGCCTTTATCAGGTGTTTAGCAACACAGTCTATTTAATCTCCTTGAATCTCTTGGTATTTTTGCAATATCAAAAGCCTAATCTACATCAAGTGAGAAAAAAATAAGCAAAATGTGACAAATTTTGTGCCAATAACATAATGGACATGTGCAGTGAAGGTTTCCTGGGATTTCTTGTGAAGAATTTCTCTGAGAAATTAGTTAAAATGACTACAGAAAAGAAAAAGACAAGAACAATTTTTTTTAGTTTTTAGTTTAAAGTATAAACTAAGTGGTTGAATAGTTGGACTTGAACTGATATCACTGTATTTTGTAGAAAGCCTTTTATTTCACTTAGTAAATAGATTGATTTTGCATGCAGCTGAGTAACAAGGCCACATTCCTTCCATCTGGATGATATATCTGGATTAACTATGGAGGGCACTTTCTTATTGAATGAAAATCTGCTCTATTTTTCACAGCCCAATTCTATTGGGGAGCTTTTGGAACAACCAAGACCTCACTGAAACATGTCAAAATTTATGTTTCAAATGCATTATGACTTGTAAGATCAAAGAGGCATAGTGCACAAAATCTCTGTTATGACAATGACCAGAAGGAAATTTTCTAATGTGCATTTTTTATATTTGCAACATCCTGTCTTTTCTTGTTTCAAGTTTTGTTTCCTTTTTACAAAAAGCCGTTGTTAACGCTTTATAATCATGCGTTTTGGGTTGAACACAAGGCACCAGCTGTTATGTAAACGAAAATTATATGCTGCATGATGCACAATAACACTTGCATCGCTGAAACCAACCTAGTTAGTTAGTTCTGCAACAGCTTACAAAAGGTCTTGTTAAAAATGTAACAATTTTAAATCAAATTTCCAAGAGGAAGATAATATTAATCGTGAACAGATCTACCAAGATATCTGCTTACCTTGAGCCTCCTGAGGAGTTCATCTTTGGAGAGTTGCTCAGTGAGTTCTTTGGATTTAGATTTCTTTGCAGATCTTCTGTCTGACATTTCAAGTCTTTTTTATCTATGCAAAAATAAAATAAACTTCCAGAAATTATTTCCTCGTCCTTGATAGATATTGTGAGTTATAACAATCAACCAAACAACACTCTTTTGGGTGGGTTGGTATTCAGAAACTCCAACCTAACGGCAAGTCAATTTCTCATCCCGTGTTTACTAAAATGCGATCAGAGAGATAATTGCAAAACAGTTGGATTCGATTCTTCTTCATTCGTCCAAAAACGTTATTTATTTCAAAAAACCATTCTGGTGCTTGGCGTACTCAGTCGGAGCTTGATAAATCGTTGAAAACATGGCAGACATCTTTGCTGAACACGAAAATGGCGGGAATTCCAAAGCTGGATTGCAAGTGTAGCTGCGCAGCAGAACAAGTGTTGCTTCGACCTCTGCTTCGACGCCAGCTGAATTGAACCTTGCGAAGATAAAATTTAAAGGTTGAGATTAGAGCTTTAAGTTTTTTATTAATTCAGTTGAATTTCAATAGAATTACCACAAAAATTCTATGCAATGTGCAAAACAATTTTTTATTTGGTCTTGTCAAAGCGAGTTTCGTTGGCAGTATGAAAATATCGAGCAAATTTAATCCGTATTGCCAATTTATATCTGTTCATAGTTTCTATTAACAAAAAAATCTGTGTAAGAAGACATATTCTATTCTTCTTATTATAGCTGCCATTGCACACTTTTGCAGCTTCTCAATTGTCCAAATTATTGCATTTTTCAAATTTAGACTTATGGAATGTCGCTAAAAACCCTTTTTATAAGAATTCTGTTTATAAGAATATACAGGCTCAGAATCATCAAATTCTCAAGAATGTTATGAGAATATTGCTCAGCTTCAGCTCACATAATTGCATCTCCTTTTTCAGCACTTCCCCTGTTTTGGGATCTTCATAAACAATAACAGGGAATCACAGAACTGACATATTTCGTCTTTTCAAAAATCGTAGTTTCTATCGGAGAGCGGACGATATTCCTCTGAAACCTTATCAGATTTGAAAAAAATGATGATACTTTAAGAACATATTCAGGTTCAGAATAAAAATTTTCTTAGAGTACTGAAACTGTTTATATAAAAAAGTGTTTTAGAAAAAACCTCTCTTTCTTTTCATGTACGGGCGATGCTGCAGATCAGCGGCTTTTGTTTCCACGCATGTGCTCCATTGAAAAGAAGATATCGCGCTCAATCGTAAAACGCGCGCACACTGCCGAATGCGTTGAAGATTTAGTTATTTTCGTGATAAAGTAGCAAGATACTGGGTAAAGATGTCTGAAAAACCTGTGGAAGAGAGAGAAGAAAGCAGTTCTTCCGAAAATTCAAGTGAAGATGAAGATTCGGTAATTGGTTTGAAATTTTTTCAAGGTTGTCACTAATGTGCGTTTTTTGTTTAGGCCTGGCGACGCCAGGGCCTAATATAAAAGCTGCGGCTGAAGTTCCTTAGTTCAGTTTCAGGGTGTTTTCGATGAAGTAACACATTAAATTTAGTGAATAGCAGTACTAGATAATCTATTTTCTTGAATATGTACGACTTCTTTTATCTTCTTGATCTGATTGTCAAGGATCAACTTTTATTTGGGATATATTTGATTCTATTTCTACCTTTAGTTAAGCTAAGTTTTTTGTTGAGCAACAATTAAATTTTCAGTTTCAATTTTTCTTAAGGAACAAGAGAAGAAAAAGAAGAAGCCAACACTACCACCGATTAAAAATCCGAACTACTCATTTGGGAAAGATTACAGTAAGAAAATTGAAGGCGACAAGGCCACAAGGTTCCAGTACCTACTGTCCCAAACGGAAATATTTGCTCATTTTTTGAATGCAGCAGGAAGAAAACCACCTACCAGCCCATTGAAAATGAAGAAAATGCCAGATTTTGAAAAGGCAGCAAGTAGTTCAAAAGCAGATGTTGGAGAGTAAGTTTAAAGGAATTTGGAAATAGTACTATCAAGCTATTTTATGTAGAAAGTACAAGTTAAAGGAGGAATATCTTTAAACAGCTCTTTAACTAGTTTTTGAGAAAATTACATAAAGTGAAGTCCTTATGCATACATTGCAGTGTCCCAGAAATACCATTAAATTAGATTTATATCATTGTTGACCTAATTAATGAAACAAATCTGTCAGTTGTTTTAACATCCAATCTTTTATTTAGCCATCGTCATAGAAGGACAGAAGAAGAAGAAGACAAAGAACTACTTGAAGAGGGAAGGCATTCCCAAACATCAGTGATACACTTTGAGTCCTCCCCTACTTGTAAGTCAATATATTAATTATTAGAACTTCAGCATGAAAACATAAATAGATGAAAAGCTATCCATTATGTCAGTTTATCAATACTAGATGAACTAATTTCAGTCACAAGGTACAATGCTACATAAGAGTAGATATTTTGGTCAAAGAACCAACATTTCCTAATTTAGTGGTCTGCTTGAAATTGATAATGATGCTTTTAATAATGTTAGTTCCTTATTGGGAGTGATAAGAATATCCTTGTTTGGCAGATATTAAAGGTGGACAGATGAGAGATTATCAGATTCGGGGATTAAATTGGCTTATTTCCTTATTTGAAAATGGCATTAATGGAATCCTTGCTGATGAAATGGTAGGTGGTACTATCATAAAATATTTCCCAGTTTTGATGGCACATTTACTTCTCGTATTTGCATTGTCATTGAATAGAGTTCTTAAGAGTGATGTCATAAAGGTCTTTTTTAAGTTTTTTTGAATTTTTATCACACAACCTATAAGAGCACCAAGAAATACTCTGAAAATAAAATCAGTTAAATATATCAAAAATCAGGTATAATATGGCATGTCCAATATAAAAGTTATGAACAGAGAATACAGAGGTTTGATAGGGAAAAAGCCTGTGCTCAGCTGGCCCTTTTTTAACTGATTTTGGACATAATTGAGGTACCGTAAATCCTAGGAATGCTAGGAATTTCTTTCTATGCATTTAATTAATTCTTACCGAAAGTATAAATTTGTTGTGGTAATTCAATAAAACACCATAGGCAACCTCAGATGGCAAAAATCATCAAATGGAGGGGTCAATTCGAGAATTTACAGTAGCAGTGGGGGCTTATTCGAGGGGGGCCTTATTGACAATTTGTAGTTCTAGGGTGGGGACTTATTCGAGGGGGGGCAATTCAAGGATTTACAGTATTTTCTGATGCTCTAAGGATGTGAGATCCAGATTCTACATTTCTGAAAAAAATTTTGTGACATCAACACTGAAAGCCTACACTATCAAAAATCATTGCCTCATTGAGGCTTCATTGCTTGTAATGCTGGTCACTTTCACATTTTTTTCAACCAAAATATACTCTTGCACTTAAAAAAGAATGGACCCTTGACAATTTCCACAAATCATATATAGTAATTTGTGCACTATAGCAACAACGATCTCAATTGTGCCACAATGTCAGTCTTTCAATAACAGTATGTTTTTTCCGAAGGGACTTGGTAAAACCTTGCAAACCATCTCACTGATTGGGTATATGAAGCATCATAGAAATCTGCCAGGACCTCACATTGTCATTTGTCCTAAGTCAACTTTAACCAACTGGATGGCAGAGTTCAAAAGATGGTGTCCCTCACTCAGGGCTGTGTGCTTGATTGGAAATCAAGAGCAAAGAGTATGTTTTATACAATTATTAACAATTATTGTTGAGTTTTTTGTTTAAATTCTGTTTTATTTTATATACATGGATTTTTCAATGGTTCTGTAAAAGTTGCTTGCTTTCATTTAGTTTTTCTTTCATTAGCAAGAAGACATTTCAATTCCATTTGTTTCATTTTTAGGCTGCACTCATCAGAGAAACCCTTCTACCTGGTGAATGGGATGTTCTTGTGACATCATATGAAATGTGCATTAGAGAAAAGGCAGTTCTGAAGAAATTTGCATGGAGATATTTAGTTATTGATGAAGCCCACAGGATTAAAAATGAAAAATCAAAGGTATATATATGTATATTATAGCCTTTGTGTGTTTTTTTATTATGATTTTTATTTGAAATGTTTCTTATCAAGAACCTTTTCAGTTTTGCATCCATTTGTTGTTTGTAATATTTGATTCAATTTGCAGCAGACATTTTGATAGTATATATAAGAATGAAAACCCTTTGTCACTGAGCTACAGTCATTGTACATACATTGATTTATTAGTAGTTATTTGCTCGTTAGTAGTTAGGTTGCAATCAATTTATATAATATTCAAGGGAATCAAAGGTTGTTAAACTATTTAGTTACTTCAGGCCTTTTTGTTTGTTGCCCTTGTGACTATATCGTTATAATACTGCCTGTGCACTTGTAATGATTAAGTGGCAAACTGTGTGTTGATACAAGTTTCTATCAATCTAGTCATTTGTATGTAATGCCCTTTATTGACAGAGAATACACGGTAGTTTTATTCTATAAAGACCATTTCGAAATTATGCCCTATCATTTAGATCTCTAAGCACTTGAACATAAAAATCAAACACCAAGAAATGCTTGCAAGTCTTTCAATATCTTAAGTTTAACTGTATTTTAGAATACTTTAAAGGTTTGCACCTCAGAAGCTCAGAAGTTTTGTTTACAGACAAAAGTTCTTGTAAATATAGGGTAGATGCTAGTGGGGTAAGTCAAGCTTTTGCAATTCAAAGATATATGTTCACAACTTGAATAGATATATGTGAAAGCCTAGCCTTATACCTGTATTCTTTTTAGCTTTCGGAAATAGTAAGAGAATTTCGATCTGCAAACAGACTGCTTCTCACTGGAACACCATTGCAAAATAATCTGCATGAGTTGTGGGCATTGCTCAACTTTCTCCTTCCTGATGTGTTCAGTTCTTCTGAGGTAGGGATTCATTTTGACTAAGCTTTGTCTCTTTTCAAGCTGAAAAGTGTTGATTTTTGAAGAAGTATTTATCATTTAGTTCTTGAACCAAAGTGTTATTCTTTTTTATCTATAAAGATCATTGTTTGAAATTTTAGTCAGTAGCATTGTGACATTTTTATCTTTCAGATTTTAAAAATTGTTTGTCTTTCTTGAAAATGTGATAGTATTACTATTATAAGTTTCCCAGGACACTGATCAAATTTATAAAATATTTTTTTTAAAAATCTCATGTGTAGGAGATAACTTAAACATTACTTCTAAACTATACACTCTACTTCCATTTAATATTTTTTTGAATATTCCAAGCTGAGGCTGAAGCAATTGCTAATGCCTGCAACTTTAAGACTACTAGCAGCTATTGTAAACCGTTTCTACTGAAAATTTTCTTTCCTGTTACTTTTTCTTAACATTCTTGTTTGTTACTTTATGTTATAGGATTTTGATGCTTGGTTTAACACACAGAATGTGGTTGATGGTACTGAAAGTAAACTAGTTTCTCGTTTACATGCTGTAAGTTTCCTCGTAGTTTTTGAGAGAACCTGTTATAAGTAATCATGAGATTTTAGATTGGTTTTGTAAAATGACTACCATACTTACAAAATACACAGAGCAATTTATAGTTGATAAATTCCAGTTCTCAAATCCCGGAGTTGATGATGAAATGTTTGTTTTTAGTTGAAATACTTTTGGATCTTATGTATTTGAGTGTTGTGGTCTATGCCTCTTAGTTGTTTCATTTTTCCTTTGAAATATTTTCATAATTTTTCCCAACCCTAATTTCTCTTGAATTATGAAGGGATCTGTCACCATTTGATGGCTGCTGTCTAAATTTTACTGGTGTTCTAGGTTCTAAGGCCGTTTCTTCTACGAAGACTTAAAGCAGAGGTAGAAAGAAGACTGCTGCCTAAAAAGGAGATAAAGATTTACGTTGGACTGAGCCAGATGCAACGACAGTGGTAAGTATGATGTATATGATTATGTAGTAAAAAATTGTTCTTCTTGTTTACATTCAAATTCATGTCCCTGCGTTTTATAAAGTATATGAAATATCGATTTGAATGTGACACAAGTTTGAATATTTGACACAAGTGGAATATGTTTAAGGCTTTTTTAATAACTTATGTTATGTATACTTCTTAGTTTCCTTTAAGTACCTTAAAGTAGATATCTGATAAATCTTAACATGACATATATATATTATGAGATAATTATTGCAACTAAGATAGAACTACAATAAGATGCAGGAGCCTGACAGCCTTAATGATATTGCCTGTCTGCATTTAGAAGATTGATTGCCGCTTGTGTGTTCAGGTACACAAACATATTGATGAAAGATATTGACATTGTAAATGGTGCTGGGAAATCAGACAAGTTGAGGCTTTTGAACATACTTATGCAACTGCGTAAATGCTGCAATCATCCTTACCTTTTTGATGGTGCTGAACCAGGTCTGTATATACTGTGTTCTTTCTTGTATTCCAGCTTCTCTGATAATCCTGCCTCACTGATAATCCCACCTCACTGATAATCCCACCTCACTGATAATTCCACCTCACTAATAATTCCACCTCACCAATAATCCCGCATCTAATTAGGAGGTCTGATAAACAAACCTGCAGGGGGAATACAAGAGAACTGTTATCTTTTTATCAAGCCTTTAACTAAAGTTTTTTTTCTATGACTGATATGTAACTTGCCAAAAAATTAAAAACATAGACCAGTGGTATTTATTTTAGGTACATACAATTAGTGTTTTCTCATAGCAATTCATCAACATTTCTACTTACATATACCTATAAGTTACTACGTAGTCTGCTTATATATATGTATGCAATTTCTGTTGTCTTTCGATTCTGTTAAAAGTGAGACTTTCTCTCTGCAGGTCCTCCATACACAACTGACCATCATCTTGTTGATAACTGCGGTAAAATGGTCATGCTAGACAAACTGTTGAAGTACCTAAAGCAGCAAGGATCAAGGGTTTTGATATTCAGTCAAATGACAAGAATGATGGACATAATGGAAGACTATTGCATGTGGCGCGGATTCCAGTACTGTAGATTGGACGGACAGACAGCCCACGAAGAGAGACAAGCACAGATTGATGCATTTAACTTACCTGATAGCGACAAGTTTATTTTCATGCTTAGTACTCGCGCTGGGGGTCTGGGCATTAACCTTGCCACTGCTGACATTGTTATCATTTATGACAGTGATTGGAATCCACAAGTTGATCTTCAAGCTATGGTGAGATGAGTTAATTTTTGAGTATTTCCTTCGACCAACGATTTAATAAATCACATAATCAACACATGACACCTGAAACTACAATAAGTGAGCATAAGTATTGCACAGGCTGAGACGGGAATGATTCAGGCCTTGCCCGGAAAGGCGCTCGATCGAGCGCGCGCGCCTAGAGCGCACCCAAAAAAAGCCTTGGAGAGCGATTTATAGAGCTCCTCAAAACGTAAAAACAATATTAACACGGAGCAAAATAAATATCTGGAATTTGTTGAATCAACTTGATCAAGCATAAACAATCTTCCCAACAGACCGCAATATTATGATTTGCGTAAGATTACCCCTTGAGAAAAAATTCAGCAAATTCAACGTTGGGTTTTCGATATCATTTTAAATCTAATAACCCTCTAATAACCATCAAGAATACAGGCCATCAAGCGTATTCTCCGGCAGATTTATTTGATTTTTGAGCAAGCGTTAATCTTCTATTGAAGTATATATTATTTTCTGTTTTTCTTAATAACTTAAAATCGCCTCTGCAAATCAACGATCACGTTTCCGTCCAAATTATCGCATTGCTTTTCATTTGCTTTTGCGAGTAGTAGATGTTCTAGCGTTTCTTATAGAATGGATAACATGAAAAAAGGAAACAAAGTTAAATGTTCGATTTAAAGCCATGCGTTTTGATGAAGCAATATGTGAAGCTGAACATAACAGTAGTGATACTGACACTGATAAAAGCTCATCGCATGATGGCAACTTACATATCTAGAAAAATCTGAACAATTTTGCGACTTTGTTCTGTTATATTTATATATTTACATTAACATAGTGTTTGTTGCATGTTTTGTTATTTCATATTATGGTGCTTTCTGGTATCACCGTTGAATTTCATATTTAACATTCTTCCGATGCTTTTGATATGAAGCTCTCGATCTTCTAAAGCTCTCGAAGGATGCTCTCAAGGACATTTACTTAGAGGTGCGAAATAGAGCGCCTAGAGTTTCTAAGGGGCTTTTTTTATGGAGCACCTTCATTTTACTTAGAGCAAGGCCTGGATGGCGGCACTGCAGCAAAATTTTTTTAGCTAACCAAAATTCAAATGGCCACAGAACATTTCATCGCGACTCAGGGTCAACGATTTTCACGGCATATGAAAACCAAAAAACGTACTTCATCCTAATTCAATCGTAAATCGACGTATTTTGTCGGGAGAAACAAAATTTTTTGATTTCTTCCGATGAATTATGTTCTATTAGGATTATTTACGATAGGCAGTTTTCATATAATTCGGTCGGTTTTCATAAAACGGAAATAGTCTTAGTTGATCGTAGACTCTAAGTTGCGATGAAATACATTAAAATAAGTTATATGAAAACCAGCCTTAAGTGTATTTAGTTTTTAGATGCATTTGCTTGGGTTTTCCACGTGTTACGTTACACTTTAGCCAACACATCCTAGACTACCAGTTTCTGGCGTCAAACAGTATCTTGATTCAAATTTAGTAATTTGTTAAGTCATTTGTTCAGGTTTGAGCACTCTTCACTCTGTATCGAGGCATTGTTATGTCGTTTCGGTCCAAACTAATAGAAACAGTGTAATTTGTTCTCGTGAATCTTCTTTTTCTGTTCCATGTGCCTTAAAAATTTACCATTTTCTACAGGATCGTGCTCATCGTATTGGGCAGAAAAAGCAAGTTCGCGTCTTTCGGTTTATAACAGAAAATACAGTTGAAGACCGCATCATTGAAAGAGCAGAGATGAAGCTGAGGCTTGATGCAGTTGTCATCCAGCAAGGTATGGGCGTCATCTTCTTTTATTTAGCGTTCTCTATTTAATATGCACGAAAATTCATGGTGAGATGATAAAATGTTGATTGAAGAAAATCTGGAAGATTTAAGGCTTGATGACTGCTTTAAACGTGAATATCGGAGTAGCATATCAGGGCCGTGCATCTAACAATTTGCTATTGATCGATTAATAGCAATGTTTATTGTAAATCCATTCACGTTTATTGAGTAGATCTACCCTTATCAGACCGTAGAAACTGAGATCAACAGTGAATAAGAAACCTTTGTAGATACATTACAAGTTTTTCCTCTACAGGTCGGTTAGTGGACCCAACGGTTAAGGTTGGAAAAGAGGAAATGTTGACAATGATTCGGCATGGCGCCAATCATATTTTCGCGTCAAAAGACTCCACTATTTCTGATGAGGACATTATAACCATTTTGGAAAGAGGTGAACGCAAGGTGAGACTGTTGTTCAGTTTATAAACACCTTTACCGGTTGTTCTCGTTCTTATGGATCAATTTCATAGGAACCACGGAGTACTATGGGCGCGTGCCCCCTTTTCACAAACGAAGGTGACGTAGAAAAGAACTACGCGCAAACTGGAGTGTAGTGCTGGGGGGCCAGGGGGTAAACAGCCAATTTCTTATTTTTGGTATTGTTTTTGCAACATTTTGCGCAAGAACCTTTCCTGTTGTTGTGATAGTGCTTCACTCCTGCGCATGAGCCTTAGAGATTCGACAGCAATATCAGCAAGAACCGCACCGCAAAGCAGTGCTACTTTTTGGCGAGCTGTAAGCCATCCTGCAAGGTTGCAGTAAAGTGTGAAACAAAGAAAGCCACCGACTCAGAAAAACAGTCGGTTGTAGACCTGTTTCGCCCCTCATCAGGGTTTATCAATACGGCTAGACTTACCCCACCCCACCCTCCCCCCTCCCACTTTTGAAATGCCCCCTACGTCTTTGACCCATTTTACGGAGGCAGAACCATTTATTACTTGTCTATTGTTCTCCATTTGACCTTTGTGGGTTTTGTTAACTCTTCTCATATTATCTTTAAAAGTCTGTAATACTTTCGTGTATAAGACTTCCTTTTTTGGTATATTTTGAACAATTGTTTCCTAAAAAAATGTTCTCATTTTTACTGAATTATGGTTTAATTCATCAAGTGTTTATACTTTTATCCTGCAGACGAAAGAAATAGAAGATAAAATGAAAACTTATGGCGAAAGTGCTTTACGAAACTTTTCTATGGATGGTCCTCAAAGTATATATGAATTTGAAGGGGAAAATTACAAAGACAAAGAGAAGGTTCGGAACTTTAATTTAATAATACTTGGTTATTTGATTTAAAAGCTGCCGTGTAATACTATTAAGCAGGCTGCAGACATCATCGACCATTTATTATTTCACGTCCAAAGACTGATTCAGGTCTCCTGATATACCTGGTTCCATTGCTTGTTCTGTTCCCTATGCGTGTTTCCACTTTAGTTACTGGTACGCATTTCAAGGGAAATAAAGAGAAAAAAGGGGGGCATCAAAAAGATAATCTGTTCAACAATTTTTTTGAAGGTACAGCACTTAAAAAAGGTTTGAAAGAAGCAAAAATTTAAGACATGGTAAAGCTCTTCGTCGGACACACTTCATACAACATCAAAATATATATCCAGTGTGGATCGAAATAGGCCAATCAGAAAACGCCATATCTATATGTAAACATAGGCCCGTGGCAATTTCTCCACTCAACTTCTCCACTATATAACCATCCAAACTAACATCTTGTGTTATATCCATAGGCTGCTGGCATCGCCCACTGGATCGAGCCACCGAAGCGTGAACGTAAAGCCAATTACGCCGTAGATGCATATTTCAAGGAAATGCTCCGAATCAGTGATACCCCAAAAGCCCCTAAAGCACCACGTCCACCAAGACAGCCCAATGTACAGGACTTCCAATTCTTTCCACCAAGGCTGTTTGAGTTGCTAGATAAAGAAATTTATGCGTATAGGAAAAGTGTTGGATACAAGGTAAAATGGTCATTTTGTGAATGCAAAAAACATTAGTTGAAATTATGAACAAATTTTTGAGTCTTTCTTGGGAAATGTTTTTTGGGATTTTTTTGATCCCATTTTATTGCCTGTTTTTATATTGAACATTCAAAAAAGAATGTTTTCATTCAAAATTCCTTTACCGCAGATTTTGGTCATCAGGGCCTCAAACTCTGCCTTTCACCTTTTCAAGCACCAAGTACTTTTTAGGTCCCAAAAGAATTGGACTTACCAGAAGCAACTGCCAAAACGAAACAGAAAGAAGAACAAAGACGTGTAGACGAAGCAGAACCTCTCAATGAAGAGGAGATCAAAGAGAAGGAAGAACTTCTTACAGAGGTAACCCAACATACAATGGCCAAATCTTAACTCAATTGGTATAAAATCTAAAGCCCGCTATTAGTAGAATGCTCTTAAGCTCACGTGACGTCGTAGAGTCGTGTGATTTAATGTTGTTGCTGCTTATAGATCATTTTGGTTAAATAAAACTTGGGCAACTACTGTTTTTGGCGAGCATCGAGGAGCAATCATGCTTAGTAGATAGTTATGACGTGTTATGCATTATAACGCTGCATTTCTGGTGCATTTAATTGTTCCCCTCCTAATTCACAAAAACCCCACAGCATAAACAATGTCAGTTTGAATCTTCTCGAGGTTCAAGGTTAGCATATTTAAACTTTGATAATCTTTGATTGTCAATCAGAGTTATGAAAGCATTTTTCATAGCATTAAATGTACCACGTGCATTCAGTATTTTTTCCTATACAAGTAAAACCGAGAAGCTTTTCCAACTCAAAAACTCTCTTTTTCAGGGTTTTACTATTTGGTCGAAAAGAGATTTCAACCAGTTCATCAAAGCATGCGAGAAGTATGGGAGAGATGACATGGACAGTATATCAAAAGATGTGGAAGGCAAAACCCCAGATGAAGTAGGCTTCATAAACATTTGTATGTTGATGATTTGCTGTTCGTGTAAGAACAGCAGAAGCGCTGCCTTCTAATTGAATCATTTCTGATAATGTCTAGATACATTGTCTATGATGTACATGATTAGTCACCCCCTGCGTTCTCACAATCAGCTTTTCGTTTTCAGGTTCGTGCTTATGCAGGCGTGTTTTGGGAACGATGTAACGAGCTCACTGATATCGATCGTATAATGGGACAAATAGAGCGAGGTGAAGCGAAAATTCAACGGAGAATCAGCATAAAAGAAGCAATGGATGCCAAGGTTCCGTGTTTTGTAATTTCTCTAGAAACCATATCAGTGGCGAAACGGAGCCATCTGTGGCCCTAAGGAAAAAACTGAGACGGGGGTCCTATTTACGGACTGCAAAAAGCCCTATCCAAGGGTGAAGAACATGTCAAACAAAATTACGAAGATGTAAAAATGATAATTTTACTCGTTAACAAGAGGAAACTGAGTTATAAAAAAACTTCCGTTCAAGAGCTTTAAAACTTTGAAGATTTAAAAACAGATATAAAAACAATTTAGGACCCCTTTTGGTCGGGGACCCTTAGTTATCGAACTAAGGTGCCCTAAACTGCGTTACGCCACTGAACCATATTTTCATGCTTTGAAGGTGCAAACGGCACTGATGTACCAGATTTTGTTATAATTTAGCTCGAAATGAACAGATATATTTATATATTAATTGAAAATTGACCAATATAAATTATGGCTGCAGCATCTTCCTTAGTATTCTTTGTTTCGTCAGTATTATATCTATTTCCATTTACCAGCAGAGCATCCAAGCACCTTTTTACATTATTAAAAAGCACGTGGACACCTCAAGTGCTCATTCTTTAGTATGTCGCCCCGCAATTGCATACTTTCATTGTTATCATCTATTGTAGATGGCAAGATACAAGTCTCCATTCCACCAAATGCGGATTCAATACGGAACTAACAAAGGCAAAAACTATACTGAAGAGGAAGACCGGTTTTTGGTAATGTGATTTCTAAAATCATTTATCAGACTTGCCGTAAAACTGTAAAATAGTCGATGAATTATTTGAGGGGGGCGATTTGTTTTTCTATCTTATTGTTGTCTCCGTAGTTGTGTAAAGAAACATTAGAGCTGAGTAAAGTAACATTAAGAGCCAAAGCAGTACAAAATTCTGCTATGTAATGTTTGATGGTTTTACTTTTCTGTTTGCTTGCCGTTTCCCTTCCATCCTTGACGCAGGGAATATTGTCTATTTTTCCTTGATTTTTGTAATAAAAAACCTTGCATTTATTTTTGCGCGCTCAAAAGTCATCCCACGTACTCACAAATTTGTTGAAAAGGTGTGGGAATCCCAAATTGTTTTTCTTTCTAGATGTTTGATTCATGATAAAAGCAATTATTTTGTTCATTTGTTATGAAATAATAATTGCAATGTATGCCGTTGCAGATTTGTATGCTCCATAAACTTGGCTTTGACAAAGAAAATGTGTACGAAGAGCTGCGACAGGCTGTGAGAAGCGCCCCTCAGTTTAGATTTGACTGGTTCATCAAGTCAAGAACAGCAGTGGTAGGAAACACTTTGCTCAGATATCTCTAAACAAGCGAGTGGAGCTGATTACTGGATATGCCAATAATTCTAGATATAAGGATATATCTATAACTATCTATGCAACATCTATACCTGTCTCACTATCCACTGCTTTATTTATGCCCTAACCTTACGCTAATATTCGATTCTTCCAGGATTTCCTTTCAGTCTCTATTAAAACTTTTCAAACTTGTACAAAGACTAGATTTACTATTTTATGTCCTGACCTTGCACTCATTTTAATATTGAAAGAAATCCACTCTTCCAGGATTATCTTTAAATCTCTATCGAAAGCATTTCATCCCCTTTAAACTCTTACAAAGACTAGATTCACTATATGACCTTAGTTATAAGATATTTTGATTCAAAGGAACTGCAAAGACGGTGCAACACTCTCATCACGCTGATTGAGAGAGAAAACCAAGAATTAGAAGAAAAAGAGAAACAGGAAAAGCGGAAGCGTGGTCCAAAGCCTGGTCTACCGAAGGTAAAAAAATTTCATCGTTTGAAATTTCTCTTCCAAGAATCTAACTGTCCTTAATGTGGGCCTTTATTGTGTCGTATAATTTCTTTGATGATTTTAATTTTTTTTTTACAATATTTAAAGAGGGTCATATAAAAATATCTACATCATTTTGTTGCGTGTTACATTTGGTTTATTTTATACGAGTATGCCTAATTTATAGCTATATAGCTAGTTGTTAATTTGTTAAATCAAATGGCCACTGTAGTGAAGCTGTGGCTAGAAAAATTTTGTTCCCTGTTTGGTTTGTGCGACAGATTTGTGAACAGCAAAAAGGAAATGCTTCCATTATCATCATTCAATTCCAGTAATTAAATCTTCTTGCAATTTCCGATAGCTTTTCGCTCGCAGTTTCAAATGTTATCCACAACCGCAGCTAGACCAGCCAAAGAGAGACGGAAGAACGATTGTTCATATTAACCGATCATTGAGGGAACAGACTGCCTTTAATAGACAGCAGATAACATTCTTGCATCATTCGGTGTTGCATTTTTCTTCCTCCATTTTTATTGTGTCTATCTTTTTATCATTAATATATACATGGTTTATCATAAATATTTATCGTTATTAGATGCATGTCTTAATGTTATTATATTTTTCTTAGGGCTCAAACGTGAAGAGAAAAGCCGATGGAACCCCAGATGGCCGGGGAAGGCCCAAGAAAAAGAAGCCATAAGTGTTTGTCTGCTCTTCTGTTCAAGCAGTCAGCGACTGCTGTTCTTTCAATAATCATTTCAGACGCTCAAACAAGATGGTTGAACAACAAAACGTGAAATGGCAACTTTTTCTTTCAGCATTGTATGCCTTTATGAAATTGATAACATCCTTACTCTTGCCTAAGGATAAGATGCCAAGACTGAAAACGCTTAGGCAAGTGTTTCTCATGGAAGTGCTTTTTCAAAATAATCAGATTTGTATGTCTGTCCTTCTAATTGAAATAAAGGTGATTTTATTCTTATGTATTCCATCCTGAAGTAGCACTTTGATCACAACTTTTTTTTGAATACAGTCATTAAACCTTGCTCCACACCCTTTGGTAGAGCAGCATGTTAATTATTGCTCGAGCCCTACTATAGCTAGAACATTGCCCCTTTGTTTCGCGAGTCAGAGATCCTGGTGTAATTTAGATTCCAAAATTATGTCATTTCTCGTTCAATATCAATGTAAAATATTTGTTTTAATACTTGACTAAAAGTAATCTTAACATTTTCTTACGGTAAAAGAACAAAATATAGGATATTGTTTCTTTGTAGTACCATGGTGTTAAGATATTTATTTAGATATTCATAGCTTGCAAATAGTGGTTTTTCTTTGCTTCTCAGCCTGTAGTATTTTTGTAAAAAAGTATCCCGAATCCTTTGGAAGATAGTGATCAAACCATGTGTGTGTTTATTTTCTAATATCTTTTAACCAGAAGTAAATGTTTCTGCATTTTTTTGCCAAATTACTTCTGGCTATATTTTCATTTTAGCCTCTTTCTCCAAAATATTTCTGAACCATGTGCAAAATAAATAAGAATATTTAGGTGGTAAAAAATCTGAAAATGGTTTTGAAAAAGCAAATTTTGTAGCTTGACCTTTTCAACCATAGTTGTAACATTTTGTACTTGGAGGAGTGTCAGACGAAAAAGCTTTAACCATGTTGTAATATGTTCGCATATTTCAAAGTCATTTTAAAACGAATTGATTACATATGCCTTATCCTCTGTTGATAATTTATATCAAGGACTTTAGAGGGCTCCAAAAATACCTTCGCAATGAAAGCAGGAACTATACAGCTTTTCCATAGCAGCAATTCCCGTTACATGCATTGGCAAATCTCCAGGCGGATGTTGCAGAATATTCATCGATAAAGCAGTCCACAAAATAAAGCAACTTGTACATTAATGTTTCAGGATACAATATGCATAAGGGAAGCAAAACAAACTTGATATTAGAGAAAAACTATGCCAAAATATTCACAGGCTACAGGTGTAAAACTGAAACTGGCATTATTCAAATGAGTCTGACTAGAGTAACTGGGCTTCGTCATATGACGCTACTGTTTTAGTATAAACATAAACCGTTATGACAGGTTGATAAATGTACACTGAGGATTGATAATTATGAAAATAGTAGGCGAATCGCTAAAAGACCATAATCTTAACTAAGATGAATCAAAAAATTACTTGCAGACTTCTCATATCCGTAATGCTTTTCAGTCGGATAGAGAGCGAAGGAAAATTAAAAAGATAGTGATACAAATAATGATGGTTTCTTAAATCTGATGTTCCTTTTTGATTCTCCAAAGGGATTGTTTGATCCCTAAAGCATCCTTCTAGCTATACCCAATATAGCAAATAGGAAAAAAGTAATCTGTTTGCCAATCCTAACAATATGAATGTTGAGGTATTCAGATTTTTAAGTGACTAGATGAAGCGTAGATAAATTATTAAAATGCTAAAATGATTGCATAAATGCTAAGAACTGACACTAAGAGGGTTTGATGAGAGACACTAAAGCTAACGGCTACTAACATGTAACAATTACATTACGTAATAATAACGAAGTATTAAAGACTCAAAAATAAATTCGTTTTTTTGTAATTTGAAGACTGGGTTCACTGCTTTTGGCTAGATTTTGAAGCATCTTTTGCTTTCACATATTCCACAAATTCGTCAAGTAATACAGGCCCTGAAAGAAAGTAAATGCTAAAATGAAAGGGAGTTCTCCAAGTTTTTGCAAGCAAAACAGTTTAAGGTTACGGTAAACGTTTTCTGGATGAAAACATCATTTTTTCGATTTTTTCACATTCAAGTAGCCGAACTTTCAAGGCACACAATTATACCAAATTTGAAACAAACAGAAATTTTGAAAGTGGAAAAAATCCCATGTAAACGAAGGTTTCCATAATTTCTTTATCAAAATTTTTAGTTGAGGCCTGAAAATCTCTTGACCTGTTAAGCCGATTATCGTTGCTTTGCGGTTGTGGTCGCATGTCTCATTTACAATATCGCATGGCACATCCATATTTCCAATGTACGGCCGTGTTTATTTAAATAGGCTTATTGATCTTAAATCTTCAAGTGACTTGACCCGGATTACACTGTGGTTTACGAGTGTATCTTGCAAGTGCGATCAGTAAAATCCCGTTTTCTCCGGACTCGAAATTCCTTTACATGCAGGTACGAAAAAGCTATTATGTACCCAAGGAACCTATCGAATGGCTCGAAAATTTGCACACGGCCAGGGCAGACGTTGGGCAAACAAAGTGTGTCTCAAATTTTTTTTATTTTCTCTGGTCCGTCTTTTATACCCAAAAAAAGCTGCGGGAGAGTGGAAAAATTATTTGCCAATTTTTGACAGGGTATAGTTTCAAGAAGAGGAGGAATTTAAAAAATCTGAGACACACTTTGGTAGCTTAGGACCTGCACTTCCTGCTGGTCTAAGTCAGATTTTGTTACCTCAAACGCAAGGGTACATAATAGCTTTTGAAGGTGGTACACATTTTGACCAGTAAATTCGCATGGAAAATAACATTTATTATTATTTGCCAATAATTTTTATCTGGCTAGATACGCCATAATATTGTGCATCGATTGATATATAGTTTATCCAGATTCCTTGAGCCGTTTGGCCTTTAGGAAGGAAAAACCAATTTTCGTGTTCAAAACGTTTACCGTAACCTTAAGGGATCATGAAGATAGATAGTGGGTGATAATTTACATGGTGATAGATATTGGGTGATAATTTACATGGTAAACAGTATTGTGATGATAGATATTGGGTGATAATTTACATGGTAAACAGTATTGTGATGATAGATATTGGGTGATAATTTACATGGTAAACAGTATTGTGATGATAGATATTGGGTGATAATTTACATGGTAAACAGTATTGATGATGATATGATAATATATGGGTGATAATTTGACATGGTAAACAGTATCCTGATGATAGATTTTGGGTGATAATTCACATGTTAAACAGTATTGTGATGATAGATATTGGATGATAATTTATTAGGTAAACATTATTGTGATAATAGATAGTGGGTGATACTTGACATGGTACACATTATGGTGATGATAAATAGTGGCTAATAATTGACATGATACATATTTGTATTGTGTATTTGTATTATCATCTAAAGATGATAAAATTTCAATATCAAAACTCACATGCTCCTTCTACATCATAATTTGAGAATGACCTGTCAACTGTTCTGATGAATTCCAAAATGCTATTCCACTGATCTCTATTGATTACTTTATATTTAGTTTGCTGGAAAATAGTGAGACATGGGTAAAGATATTGCCACAGTTTACTTGACAAGTTATAGGTTTACTCATTACCATTAACCTATAAAAGTAACAATAGATCAATCAGAATATATAAATAAACATCACTTCTTGTGGCCATTTAAAATTGCTGAGTAAATCAATAAAACCTGGACTTCCAAATTCAGATCTTGTTTCTTGACAGAAGTATATAGAATCTAATTTAGAAGTATTGTAACAATTGGGCAACTTTGTCAATCAAGTACCCAGAATTATTATTAGTCTATAATTTCAAATGTAAACAGAGGATCTGAGAAGAGACTAATTTACAGAAAGGGCAGCACAGGGAACCAATCATTTGAATTGAATTTCGGGTGCGTGATCGTGAAATCTAATTTTCCAGTGTTGTGAAAGCCTGATTTGCAATTATTTTACATGTGATAAAGTGATTTAGCATGGATACTTGTAACCCCCATTGTATAGGTTACAAGAAATATATCAAAGAAATGTGAACCTCTAGCATCCTTGTTGATAATGATACAATTGCATTAGGCAAAGAGAGCCAATACTTGTTAAATTTACTGCAATAATTAATTTAGATTTGCATATCTTTTCTTCAATTCATATTTGGTCATTGAACTCATATATGAATAAATATGTGAATTTAATATATTCCTGGTGTCATACAGTCAAAACAAGTACAATACTCACATTCATATATTCAAGAAATATGTCAATCTGTGGCCAGATATCTCTCAAAAGTAGATTTAACATAGCCTTTCCTGTTTCAATATCTAAGCTTCTTTGGTCTTTATCCTAACAAAAACAAAAGTTGATTGACAAAATAATACCTTTAATCCTTTAATCATACATTAGTCCTTAGTCTATACCAAGACATATGAAAATACCTCCCCCTTGAATTAATGTCTTGCAATATGTAGGCAGCTTGATTTTGTATAAGGTTTCCTCATGTTTTTATCCTCACAAGCCAGAAAGCAGGAGAAAAACAGACTTTTAACATTCAAGTTTCAAAATATGAATGGTTCCACTTCCAGATAACATGAAAGAAGAACATTTTTGCTGCTGATACTCACATTGAACAAAACTATTTTACAAACTGATTTGAATGGTTTGTAACTTTTGGCTTAGCTCCTTTAATTTGTAAAAGTTATAAAATATTTGCATCAGCATGCTTATCAAATAACATGGTTTAAACAGGCCTAATAATTGTGGTTGACAATCAGTATGAATTATAAACTACATTGTTATGATACCACCACTCAACAAATGACCCTTATTTGATTTTGCCAATAAAATCAATGAATTTGAAGCCCTGTTAGTATATCAAATTAGCAACAAGTGTGAACTGAATTTATTCAGTCTGAAAAGAAGAAAAAGGAGTAGAGTGTATATCCAATCTCAATTCAGCTCCATTCAATTTTTTTTGTATACTACAGAAGAAGAAAACTACTGTAATACAAAAGACCCAAGGAAAGTATGAGCTTATCTAGCTTGGGCTGTTGACAAAAGATATAAATGAAAACACTCTAATAAAACTTTAAAAACTTTACACAATTTTAAAAAATATACATACCCGACAAAAGTCAAATGCATATCTGTATATCTTTTTAAAGTTTGAATTATCTTTCAGATATCCTCTAAGAATGTCAAGTTTTGATTTCAGCTTCAGAAGAGAATCACAACTGCAAACAATGATATCATTATAATTATGATTAATAATTTTGGCTTTCTCTCAAGGCAACAAAAAATATTTATTCTACATCTATAATTAACATTATTCACAAATCCTGAAACATAAATTAAAGTGGGGAGGCCAAGACTCAAACTACTACTGTAAAAATTCTTGTATGCCCAATGGGGTGCTCAGCCTTTTAATGTATTTCTTATGGCTTGTTCTTAGGGTTTTTGTAGGGTGTTCAGCCTGTTTTTGGAATGCCCAGTCTTCAAATAATGTAAGGAGGTTGGCCTTTCAGGGAATCCTTGTTTACAAGGTGTTCTCGATTTAATTTATTACAGAATATTTTCATAAACAATATCTAGAATTATACATTTCATTTACAATTTATTGAAAAAAAGAATTAAAGGCATGGATTTCTATTGTTAACAACAAAATGAATTTGCTTTATTTCTGGTAAACTAAAAAAACAAATGGGAAACATGCCTGGTATCCATATGTCAACTCCTGGGGTGTTTTAATGAAACGCACTGCATTTATGTTTACTTTTGTAAACCAGGAATAATTTTAATTTCCAAATTCCTAAACCCCATACAGGGATACACTGCATATGTATAGAGAGAGCTTATATGAAGGTTTTTTTGGTAAACAAAAGCCCCTAAATTTGCAAAATTGGCCCTCTATCATTTGAAACTACCATAACTTACCCAAGACAGCACATTCCAGACTTCCATTCACTGAGTTTGAAGAACCCCATGTTTTCTGCCCTGAGCTTCCAAGCAACCACTAACATTACAATCTGGAAAATAAAACATTGCTTAAACTGTTACAATAATTATTTCTGGATGTATAAAATGAAGAAAAGTTTTGGTGGTGAATGGTTTTGAAAATTAATTTGACTATGAGAAATAAGAGACATTATGGTTTCAAAGCAATTTAAAAAAATGGCAGCAAACAGAAGATGAAAGGTTTGAGGTATTCATGAGCTAAATTTTATCAAAATTGTAGACAGGTTCAGGTTCAGGTTTCAAAGCAATTTAAAAAAATGGCAGCAAACAGAAGATGAAAGGTTTGAGGTATTCATGAGCTAAATTTTATCAAAATTGTAGACAGGTTCAGGTTCAGGTTCATTTTATTTTAAATTCCACAACATACATTTCCACAAAATACTAATAAAAATACAGCAACATCAAATATCAAACAATAACTATAACAATAAGATATGGAACACAAATTATCGGTGGGATATGTATGTATGGGGAATTATTTAAAGGAGCAACAGTCATAGTTCTTAATATCAAAACTTAAAATCTGATACTTTGTTAATAGACAGGTGCTCAAAGTGTTTGGCTAAAGATAATCTTAATATTCTTTGTTCAAGTCCTATCTGATCAATTTCCACAAGCCTTTGGCAGCAATTCTGTCATTCAAGTGTGAAATCCTGTAAAATTTCTTATGGTTTCTTCATCATACTTAGCTTTTCATCATTAAGAACTTAATCAAATAAGATTTTGCAAACTAAGTATTGCAAACCCTAAGCAACTAAATAAGAAATACAGGTTTAAATATTGAATAAGAAAGAATTTCCCACTTACGTCTGTTGGATCAACTCCTAGATCAGCACAGAACTGCTCAATTCCTTCAGGCCCAATCATCTGACCCTTAGAGGTATCATCTATTAAATGCAGAAGTTTTTATTAGGATAAAAAGCTATTTATCAACAAGCCAATGTGTATTGATGATAATGCAATCAATTTTGACAGATGAAATCTGTTGGCTCAACTGGTGAAAGAGTGGAATGTTAATAAACAGGAATGTTAATAAAAATTACAGAATTTCAATCCCAGTACAAGCTGCCTACAAACAAACAACGAACAAAATAGTTAAATGGGAAAAGTTTAAACTTCTGAGCAGGTGTACTTTAAAATAATGATGTGATTACTTGCAAAACTGCCAACCAGGCACCAGAAAGCAGAGTGATTTGGGTGTGCCCACTAAAAAGCTCATATCAATTTCTCAACTGCATGCATTAGCAAAAGGTGTATAACCTAAATAGTTAAACCCTTTCTTTCTCTCCCTAAAGTCTAATTCAAAACACAGCAATACTAAAATTTACTGAAATAGGCTTACCACAATATTTCTGAAACCAAGCTTCACATTTCTTCAGTGAGAATGCGCTGTCTTGGTCATTTGATGGAATAAATATTTTTGATGTTCTGAAAGGAAATTTCATGACCAACTTTATTTTATAAATCTTAAATCAGATATATTTGAAATTAGTTATAAACAATAAAACTCCAGTTTACCTTGCTACTTAAACAATAATTCAAATCTTCAGTGTTCTATACCTTAAATCTTGAAAAAAATGAATAAAGGGTGATTTCCAAATAACTTTTCTAATTCAAAAAAAATCCCAATGATGATTATCCTTATCTATCTATCTATCTATCTATCTATCTATCTATCTATCTATCTATCTATCTATCTATCTATCTATCTATCTATCTATCTATCTATCTATATATCTATCTATCTATCTATCTATCTATCTATCTATCTATCTATCTATCTATCTATCTATCTATCTATCTATCTATCTATTCATAATACGCCAAATCAACGAAATACCTATATGGTCAAGCCTCATTTTCATATATCATAATTCATTGACGGTGATCCCCATTGCAGTTTCCTGATAGCCCATTTTAGTCTGTGACAACTTAAGACATATGAAAACATGGTCATTAGGAACCTTTGGCAAATCTCAATTTAATCTCAAATTACTTGTAACTCAGGTAGGATTGTCTCTTAGCTTGCAAAAAATTGAAGTAACATTTTTACAAACTCATTTTACAAAAGCTGAAATAAATAATGTTGAAATTTTGGCTTGCATTTGTCAGTTTTTTCTGTTTTTTTTTCTACTCATTGAAATTATCCCTAAACTCCTTTATTACAGTGTTTGAAACTGGCCTAACTCTTGAAATTAAAGCTGTTTTCAGGACCCAGAATCTCCTCTCCCTCTATTTCTTGCCTTTAAGAAAGCTGTTTTTTTCTCAAAGGTAAGATTATCATCAAACATTGAGCTTAGACCATCAGCCATATTCTGAAACGTATATTTAAAATCGAGCTTGGGTGCTCAAAAACTGCTTATAGCATTGGGGACAATCCTCGACCATATGGGATACTCCCAGACAATCAGGGATGCTATGCATCAGGTAACATTGCCAATGCTTTGTGATATATGAAAAACCATGCTTTATTACCTACAGGTTGTGCTTTGTTAAAATGGCTTATTTTGTAAAGATAAAAAATTATTGATACAATTGTTGAATGATGGATAAAAAAGTGGTTCAAGTCCACTCTGTGGACTAAAATGTTCCTAGTTGGAAATATAAAAATATTTTGCTCTCCTTCATATTGTCCTTGTTATGTGAAAAAAGCAGTTCATAGTTATTGTCTATAGTAAGTCGATTCTTGTAATTTTTCATTTTGTGTATAAAAAACAAATTGAAACTGCTTTAGACCAACTTTAAACAACTTGAAAAACTGTTGCTTTCTCTTCAAATATGAATCATCAGACATTGAATGTATAACCAATGAAACAAAAATATTCCAACTCTTCTTATAAACCATTCAAAAATTGTATTTTTTTTCTCTCAAAGCATGGAAATAAGATTTGATTAACAAAACACACCTGACAAAGTCTGTTAAGACATTCTTTTTGCCTTCATCAAATGCCTCTTTTCTTTTTCTTTTTGGTGCCATAATATTTATCTTTAGCTGCAATGCTGGAAACAAAACAATGAAACATTGTTAAGATTTCATAATTCCATAAATAAACAAATTTATTTTCAGATACATAAATGTTTATCATATTAACGTCAAACAAAAACATTGTTATCAAGAAACGAAGCTGTGTTTTTTCAAAATTATATCATAATCAAAATTAAACAACAAAGAATTTTTTGTCTTGCACATGCATAAATATATTTAACAAAGCATAGATATTTAACAAAACATAGATAGTTCCAGAGAACATTTTATTATAAACTCTTCTTCCATTAAAAAAATGTCTTTTCCAGTCAAGCCAGTATCTATTGATTGTTCTCAGATAACTGTTCTTAAACCATTAACTTAATATGACTGTCTACCTACCTGCCTACCTGCCTACCTGCCTACCTGCCTACCTGTCTACCTGCCCACCTACCTACATACATACATACATACATACATACATACATACATACCTACCTACCTACCTACCTACCTATCTACCTACCTACCTTCCCAACTACCAGACCTACTTACCTACCTACCTACCTACCTACCTACCTACCTACCTACCTACCTACCTACCTACCTATCTACCTATCTACTGCACATTAACCTACCTGCCAGGGTGGAATCCACATGAAGCACATGCCGGACATTCGCCAATAAACAATAGAAAGACACTGGGAAATTGTTAGTCTACGCTGGATATCTCGTCATAGTCTAAGCTACATGGATTCCATACTGGCCTACCTGTTAATGTATTATGTGCAATTATTAGTATGGTAATAAGAAAAAGTAAAGTTGTTGGTAAGATTCATGATAAAAATAAGTGTTTTAGCAATTATCTAGCTCAAGCTAAATTAAGGTTCTTGGTCAAAGGTCAAATCTTTTTCTCTGAGTTACTTTTCTCTAAGTGTATAAAAACTAAATCTTTAACTAAATCTTTCAAAATACAAAAACTGAACTGAACTGAACTTAGTGTTTATAAAATATTAGCTTCTGTGCATTATCTACATTCCTCTTCA